ATAAACAGACAAACAGAAAAGGAGCCCAGATTACAGTCAACCTCTTACAGCCACAGCAAAACCTGCATAAATGTCACTGCAGCTCTTCTGGTGTAACAAACGTCGGTCTATGCATGAAGTGGAGGCTTAGTCTGACCAAACAGCAGCTACAGCGGGGTCTAGCAGAAGACTCTCCAGACAAAACCTGGAGGACATCTCCAGCTCCTCCAGTGTTAAGTGCTTTAACGTTGTTGCTGTAGGTGATAATGGGCTACGTGGGGTGGTGTTCCCAGCGCGGGGTGGTGCTGCAGACGCATGTCTGTTGGAGTGGCCACTAATGGGCATGTAGAGTTTATGGTACAACATCAAACATCTGATTCTTTGTGGTCGAGTTGGTCCTTTAGCGTTGCAGAAAGCTCTTTGAAAGGTAAAGAACGACTTAAACTCAGTGTTTGTCCAAATTCCTGCTCATTCAGCAGCTGTTGCCTTGGAGATCTCTGTAGCCGTGGAGCTGGATGGATGTGACGGTTCAGAACCAGGGGCGTGTCCAGGGAGTGGCCTGGGGTAGCACATGCCACCCTTAGAATCTGATTGGCCACCGCAGGTGCCACCACACTAAGTTCCAGTTTAAACCGACTTTACATTGTCGACAGAAGGCTTGGGTTGTAAACTCCAAAATAGTGTATGGTAGCATGCACCTTTCACCTTGTTTTCCAGCCCAGGCATGTAGTATTAATATTATTTAATGTTTTTTCATATTCACATACATAGTATTTACAGTCCCACTCAACTCCAGTTGGTGGCAGTAATGCAACAAGAAGTGACTTGCTAACCACCACAAAAGTAGAAGATGAAGAGGAAAAAAAATGGTGATCGTGCAATGTGAAACTCAAAAATTCACTAGGAAGTAAATAAACAAATAAATGATTTGTGTAAATAAAGAAATAAGCATAACCATTGGTGCCACCCATGAATAAACAAGTGCCCCACAGGGGCCACCCCTGGACACGGCCCTGTTCAGAACAGGTCCTGAACTGCTGATATCTTGGGTCTAAATGAATGAGAAGACAGAAGGAGTCATCTGGAGTGGATTTTCAAACAAAGAGGGGTCAGCTCTAATGGTCCGTGTGTTTTAGCAGCAAATGCAGATGATTTCATCACAAATGTCTGGTTATAATATCAGAAATATTCGAGACCAATCGCTAATTTCTTTGGAAACTAGAGATCTTTGTGACTGGTAAAATGTATTGAGGTGTAAATGTTTATGCCGAATGTGAAGCAGCTGGGATGAGAATCAGTTTCTCTAGATCTGAGACCACGGTCTTCAGTCAGAAAAGGGTAGAATGCCTTCTCCGGGTCAGGGATGAGGTCCTGCCCTAACTGGAGGAGTTTAAGTATCTCGAGGTCTTGTTCACGAGCGACGGAACGATGGAGCGTGAGATCGAGAGGCGGATTGGTGCTGCGTCTGCAGTGATGCGGGCGTTGTACCGGTCTGTCGTGGTGAAGAGAGAGCTGAGCTGGAAGGTAAAGCTCTTGATTTACTGATCGATCTACGTTCCTACCCTCACCTATGGTCATGAGCTTTGGGTAATGACCGAAAGAACGAGATTGTGGATACAAGCAGCCAAAATGAGTTTTCTCTGCAGAGTGGCTGGGCTCTCCCTTAGAGATAGGGTGAGAAGCTCGGTAATCAGGGAGGGGCTCGGACTAGACCTGCTGCTCCTCCACATCGAGAGGAGCCAGTTGAGGTGGATCAGGCATCTGGTCAGGATGCCTCCTGGACGGGTCCCTGGTGAGGTTTTCCGAGTATGTCCAACTGGAAGGAGACCTAAAAGAAGACCCAGGGCACGTTGGAGGGACTGTGTCCGTCTATGTCAATGGGGACAGCAGTAGCTCAGGGGGTAGAGCGGGTTGCAGTGGCTCTGACCAGAGAACGCTGTCGTTGTGTCCTTGGGCAAGACTCTTAACCCACCTTGCCTGCTGGTAGGGGTCGGACGGACCGGTGGCGCCTGCGTTCTGCAGGGCAGCTGTGGCTACATCGTACATCGGCTACATTGAATGTGTGTGTGAGTGGGTGAATGACTGATTGTGTTGTAAAGTGCTTTGGGGGGTTGTAGAATGCTAAGCAGGCGCTACACAATTACAGGCCATGTCTCTCGTCTGGCCAGGCCACGCCCTTGGGAGGAGCTAAGAGATCAGACCAAAGTGGACTGCTGTAGTTAAGCTAATCCAAAAGATTTTGCATTCATGCAAACCGTTTTAGAAATGTTTACCCTCCAGCACTTGGGCTCGGCCAGTAATTCAAGCAGAAATGTGAGCTGCCATTTTCCTCTGCAGGGAGCCTCAGAAGCCGACGTAAATGTTTTACATATAACGTGCGGCAGTGCTGCAGCACATTTTATAGGCCTCTTCAAACCGCAGCGACCTACTTTGGTCTCATCTGGACCAGCTGTTAGCATCTTTGTTTGGTCGTTCTTCAAACTGAGGCTGTTCATAGAGCCATGGCCGAACTTTTCCAGATGAAGCAACCTGAGCTGTCACCAATTCCCCTTTTCAGCAAGGTAAATAAAACCCTTATCTGTGTTTAAAAAGAACCAAAAACGGAATTAGAGGACAAACACAGCAAGAACGTACAAAAGATGCCGAGCTATCGCTGCTTCACTACGCCAGGAGGTGAAGCCTTTGGGCCAGCTGGGGATGATCTGGAGATTAGGATTACAGGGAGTGGATAATTAGTGATACTGGTTCAATCAGGTGAAAACAAGAAATGTCAACAAATTCTAACTGTCTCCATGAAGAAAAGGCTTTACAGCATAGCAACGGTATCCAAGTGAAGGTTACTGTAAAGGACGACTGCATCCTGCTTCGTCTCATCCTTTTGTTCAGGATTAGAGTCTGCTGGCTACAGAGGAGCCGCTGATCACTTCCTGCGTGCTCCCAGTTCTTACCTGCCCTAGATTCCTTGTAAAACGTTTCCTCCCATGAATTATGGATGGAAAACAGTCCGACACAAAGGAACTTCTGAGAAAGCGTTTCTAAAAGCAACTGCCTTTCCTTTTGGCCGTCAGATTCGATTACATGGGTTTTGGCGTCCGGGACGAGTTCACGGCTTGTTTTCTGTTTGTCCTCTCGGTCCACCATTCACCAGATTACAGAATTATTTTTTCTGAGCCCGCTGTGTCTGGTGACAGCAGACGGGTTGATACAGCCAATGGGACCAGCTACTGAGCTTGGTTTCAGAATCGTACAGCATCGAAGGAGAGCTTGGGAAAATGCCTTTACGACCAGCTTCCTCTATCAGACTGTGTGTGGGAGAGACGTCAGGCTACGTTTGTTGATAATCATGACCCTGCGGGGTCAGCCGCAGGCCTGATGCTACACTCCTGCTAATGCTACGTGTGATGATTAGATTCTGTGCCCACATGCATGCCTAAAGTAAATGACTGTCATCAGTGACACAGCCTGCCGCCTCATTGCTCTGTTTGTCCTTACAACAGCGGCCCTATAGGCCCACTGTATGCCCACTCAGCTCCTTTATAATCAATACTCTGCATGCTTTGGAGCCGTTTTAGTCGCGTAAAGGCTGCGTGCATGGACGTCATTTTCGCTTTAGAATTGGGTGGGACACGGGGTGGGGGTGTGTGTGTGGGGGGGGGGGGGGGGGGGGGTATCTTTACAGTATGCTCTAATGCAGGGGTGTCAAACTCATTTTAGCTCAGGGGCCACATTGAGGGAAATCTAGTCCAGATTGTTTTCTTTGTTTTAATACAATCAATATAAAACAAGGCTGGAGCCTGAGGACAGTGTAGTACAAGTACAACACCTGAAGTGTACTTGAAAATTTGGAAGAAAAAAAAATCAACAAATAAAAAAACATTCCTAGGTGATTATAAGAGCTTACGGATCACATGGCAACATCAGTTTCATGCGGCACTTAAAGTATATTTGACTCATTTTACTTTACATCTTTTAGCTTTCACCGGCACATCAACATCAGGAGTCACATCCTGAGTGGCGGCCATCTTCAGGATGTGATTCAAGTTCTTGTGTGAGCCTTGAGCGCAGCTTTGTTTTATTTATACTCATTACAGAGAAAACTTGCTCACAATGATACGTTTATTTTCACTCTACACTGTAAAGTATGAAAATAAAGTTTACACAACCATCTCGCGGGCCGGATTTAACCCGCTTGCGGGCCGAATCCGGCCCGCGGGCCGCATTTTTGACACCCCTGCTCTAATGGGAAACAGGCTTCAACACTAAAGTTGTTTTCCTCTTGGTCCTAGAGCTCAACCACTGTCAGTTTGATGTAGCGTAATATTGTTTTTGGATGGTAAAAAGTGCGGGGTCAAAACTTGACTTTGGAAAAAGTGGGGAGGACATGTCCCCCCTGTGCCCCCCCAAAAATTACGTCCATGGCTGCATGTACCACAGCTGTGTTTCATTGTTGGATCACATTCCCCCACCCAGAAGACTCTAACCCTAACATTAAAGGGGAGGGCTTTATTCTGGTTTTAGGGTTAGGTTAGGGTGGGGTCTGGAAAGCATCACCAGTTTGATTGCTATCCTGCCTGTATGATAAAATCTAACTGCGCCTGGGATGTGCCTTGCTTCCTGTCCGTTGGCAGCTAGGATTTGCCCCCACGCTCCTTTTCCTGGAGACTACAGCAGGTAAAGTAGGGTGGATGCGATTCAGACCGACGCAGCCCCCACCCCCTTCACCTTTGTGGTCTTCACTTTGTGTCCAGAGATGCACGACCAGCCGGTGAGGTCGGGAAGAACTCGGCACTCCTCCCCCTCCAGACACGGCTCCATCTTACACCACCACTTCTGACGCACAATAGACGCTGCAAGGAGAGAAAAGAGGTTGTGGCCGAAGGTCACCTTTCAGACTCCGAGGCTTCAAAAGGAAAAAGACAACAAAGAGTTTCTTGGAAAAACATCCTAATCAGATGTCACACTCCTTAAAAGCCTCAGAGTGAGTGAGCTCCAGAGAAAGTGACTCAGCGTTGACACAAAGCACTTCTGTGTCTCATCAGAATCTTTCCTTTTAGAGGAGAAGAGGGTTACCTTCCACACAGGAGGGCAGCGCCCTCGTCGTCCCGGCTACCTGTCCGGGGAAGCACGAACACTTGACTGTCTGAGAGCGCTCTTCAATCTTATTCTTGTTGCAGCAGCGACGAGCAGCAACTACTTCACACGTCCCCGTTCTCTCCTCTGAGGATTCTGGAAAAGACCCGTTCAACATGTGGGTTGGCTTTACCTTCCAAAGGTGACATTTCCAGTCTGATTATTCCAACAGAGAGCAACAGATTCTTGTTGCTTTTTTAAATAGTCAATTAAAACAATCTAATCACTGTAGGGGAAGCAGTACACCTCCGAATGTAGCGTTGTTTCTAAAGCTTCAGTGCCCCCCAGTGGATCGTCGGCTCTTCACCACAGACGTGTCTGCTCACCTTCAGACTGCATTTGTGATCTGCAGGTAACCCAGCGTGCAGACGCTGGAGAACCCCAGAGAGTTTGGAACGATTTATGAGTCAAAAAAAGAAATGATGTGTGTTTTTACACTCAGTGACGTCTGAATCCTGCTGCTGCAGGAGTCCAAACACAAACGCTACAGCTGCTGGAGCCGAGCCTCTGCTGCTAAAGTAGGCTGGAGTTGGGTGAGCAGAACGCAAAACTGAATAAATAACACAAAGCAGAGAGCCATAAAAGCTATGTAAACACCGAAAACGCTAAAATCGTAGAAATGAGACTAATAACTTCACAGCAAACCGTGACTAAAACCAAAGACTGTGGCGTGATGGCTCCGGTTACCATGGCAACCCGGGCTGCAAACCTAACCTGCTGAATCAAGCCAGGTTTGCGGATCAGGGATCACACATCTGAAGCCAGGCAATCAGCTCATCTTGGAAAACGAGACAAATTAAAAACACACTGATGCGCGTTCAGCGAGAGTCTGAGTTCAACCGTTTGATTTGACTTCACTGAGGAGAAAATAGGAAACTTCTGAGCAGGGAGGGGTTTCCTCAAACGGAGACTGAAGCAGGAAGCGAAAGGCTCATTCTGAACTCACGTCACATTTTCTAATCTTTGACACGTCGACGAGTGTCTGCTCCAACATCTACGTGTCTCAGAATACTGGACAGGATCCTAAAAACATTAGGATGATAGATCTACTTTACTCCACATCTGTGAGTCTGTTTTCATTCATTCATTCATTCATGCATTCATTCATTCATTCATTCATTTATGATTCACCTGTTCCATTTAATTCAGGATCACGGGTATCTTTAGCAGTCAGGGTGAGACATGGTGTACATGCCAAGGTTTAACATTCACACCAATAAGACCATATGTCTGTGAAGGTTCTCAGTCATCCAGGTCATTGTAGTCCAATGAGCTTGAAAGAAAAGCGTCTGGACTTCTTTGAGTTGCTTGAAGACGTTTCACCTCTCATCCGAGAGGCTTCTTCAGTTCTGAGGTCAAATGGTGGAGAGTCCCAGATTTAAACCCAGTGGGAGTTTCCCCCCAAAGAGGGAACAAAAGACCCCCTGATGATCTTCTATGAGCCAAGGTGTGAGGGTGGGTGTGGGTCCTATTCAGCCAGAGTTCAATGAGCTCACCCGAAACTCTGGCTGAATAGGACCCACACCCACCCTCACACCTTGGCTCATAGAAGATCATCAGGGGGTCTTTTGTTCCCTCTTCGGGGGGAAACTCCCACTGGGTTTAAATCTGGGACTCTCCACCATTTGACCTCAGAACTGAAGAAGCCTCTCGGATGAGAGGTGAAACGTCTTCAAGCAACTCAAAGAAGTCCAGACGCTTTTCTTTCAAAGCTCCTTAGACACCAATAAGGCCAGTTTAACCCTTTGATGCATAATAGTCACTACAGTGGACAGGTACTCAAAATTGTTATTTCTTTGTTTTTGCTATTAAGCACAGCTGTTGAAGACTTTATTGCATTTGAGCCCCTCCATTTGGACTTCAGTAAGCCAAGCCAACATATTTCATGCTCAGAATGCACGCTGTCCACTGAGGTGGACATGCAATAAATTATTTGTAAATTATAAAATTTTCCAAAAATAATTTGTTGAAATTTGTTTCATTCACACCTAAAAACGAATGAAAAAAATTGTTTAAAAAAATCATGGTTGAAGATTTCATAATTCATGCATCAAAGGGTTAAGTTGACCTGACATGTACGGCACCAGCCAAAGGCTTGATCGCACCTTCCCAATATTCCCATTTAAACTTCAGTGGAAGGAAACAAGAGAGCATCCAAAGTACAGTTGAACCAGCAACCTCTTGCTGCAAGGCAGCAGTGCAAACCAAATAACAGCAGTCATTAGAAAGACGCGTCTGAAATATTCTGTTTAACCGAAAAACACAAAAAGTCACACACACACACACACACACACACACACACACACACATCCTTCGTTCAGTGCTACCTGATGATAAAGTGTAGCCACCTTTGCGTTCTTTTCTTTTTAACGAGGCAGAAACCGTTTCAGTGTGTTCGTTTTAAGAGTCAAATCTTTTAGGATTAAAGAAAACCAAATGTTTAAGTCCAAATCCCACCTCCCTACACGTTTAGCTTTTACTCAGTGAGACATCTTCTAATCCAGCCTTAAATGAAACCCATCCAAATTTTTAATCATCAGATGACAACAAAGTGAAAAACGACCGACAACCAGATCGTTTTATGGTGTGTCAGGTCAGAAAACCCTAGACAGGAACGCCCAAAGCTCTGGTGTCAAAACTAAAGCCTGTTTGTGAAAACAGACACTTAAAGTAGAACGCTGGCTCGTTTCACAGAGCTGCACCATCGCCCTGCAGAACGTTTAAAGCTGTTCGTACACAACATGCGATTTTCTTCCACATGAGCCAGTCTGGAGATGTTGTTGCCTTGTTGGAGCCTCCCATCAGACCAACAAGGCCGGTGACCAGGAGCCCTGTAATGAGCCCCTCTGGGTGTGTGAGTGGTCTGGCTTCGTCTGACGCTTACCTATCTGTCCTCGGGAGCTTTGGTTGCCACCGGACACAGGCTGGATGCTGAGCTTTATTATTATCACGCACAGCAATAAGAGGCTGCGGAGTGAAGGACACGTCGTTGCATTCGTCTCCATCATACCTGCACGGGAAAACAGAGCCGTGCAAACTTCACCATGTGGAAAAGGCTTTTGTCTAAACTCAGAGGGAAACCCTGACCTGATATGTTGTAAATTATCAGTGACCGAGGGCATCCAGCTGACCCCGGGCAGATTGGATCTGGCCAATAAGGAGCCTGATTGTGAGGGGTGAATGTGGAATGGACAGATGTGACTCATTTTGACTCATATTCTGCTTTCAGCGGTGCACAACTCCATGCTACGCTCGTCTTTACTCTAAAGTTAGATTCCTGATGAGTCACAGAAGAACTGGGACATTTTGATGCTAAATCACAGCATTCAAATGAGTCTGAGCAGCGATGACATGAAGTAACTGCTGGTTTTGCCTCTGGCTGTTTTACTAATCACATTTTTACAAACCTGCAGAAAAACACATATTTATCCGTTTCTGCTCGTGTTGCTCCAGATTTTCTATTAAAAACACGCAGACATTTTATTTTATGGATGGATACCATAATGTGAGACAGGTGAGACAGGAAAAACTAGAATCTGGTGCAAAAGTCCATTTATGTCAGTATTCCAGCTCAGACTGAGAGACCCTCTAAAGGCTCAGAAACCTTTGCAGGTGTTCTGGATTCATCAGGATAAGAGCCTTTGAGTCCAGCGCCTTTTCACAATATTCTAATCATCTGAGACGCATAATGTGGGGTTTTCATTGTCCTTCACAGGTCTAACAACTAAAGGCTGAAATATCTGGCTTCGTGTGTAATGAGTCCGTCTCATAGATTAGTTTCACCTTTGATTTAGTGACATAGGTGAACTTTTGCACTAGATTCTAGTTTTATCCCAAAAAAATCATCTTGTTATCATGTTTGCTAAAACAATGATATTTTAATCACATGCTGCTGTAAAAACACCAAACGAGTGCTCCGAATGTGCATCTGCTCTGTACGTACCTGCGTGCATGACGAACCATCGCATCAATCAGTCTGCAAATGTCACAAACGCCATGACGTTCAGGAGGAAAACAGATGCGTGCATCCTCATTTTCACGTTTCCACCTCAAACAAACAAAAATAAATGAATGAACGAATCCATGAACCTGCTGCCGAGTGAGCTCGTACAGGTGGAGGTGCACTCCCACACCTGAGACCGCGTCCCTCTCTGGAGTTACACTCTGGCTTCCAGTCAGGAAGCAATGCCAGAGAGACGAGCTCGTCGGCTTTACCCCGACAGGAAAATTCAAACTTAATCAAGCCAGAAACCATCTGCCCAGCGGACAATAAGCGGCCACTTTCATTAGCGCCTTAAGAAGCTTAAAGTCAGTAGACATCCTGTCACACAGAGGATCAGCTGCACACACTGGCCCTGTTTTTCTTCAGATTCGGCTTTAAACCAACCTTTTTAGCGTACCATACCAACTTTGTTTCTGTAGCTCAATTTAAGACACGGTGTGGGAGCCGACCAAGGTGCTGAACAGGCAGGATCAATTAAAACAAAAAGATAAAAGCAATAAGAAGATAAAACAAAACAATAAAATCTATTAAATCATAATGGGATAACATGAATCACTGTCTAAGAGCCAAGTCATAAAAGTAGGTTTTTAAACGAGATTTAAACACAGGCAGAGAGGATGCCAGCCTAACTGTAATGGGCCGTGTGTTCCAGAGCCACGTTCACCTCGTGATTTGTAGGACATCCGGGGAATGCAAAGCAGTAGACGGTCAGCTGACCTCAACACACGAGTAGGTACGTAGGGAGTCAGCAGGTCGGACAGATCAGGAGGAGCTAGGTCGTATAGGGCTTTAAAAACAAGCATCATGATCTTAAAACGCACACGAAATGTGATGGGGAGCCAGTGAAGATGTTCCAGGACTGGTGTAATACGGCTATGTCGACTCGTGTTTGGCATTTTTCACTGTTTCATTAAAAATACCAAATCACTGGTGAAATGTCAGACAGAGAACAGCCATAACAGGACTGAATGGGTCCTACTGGACGTGTTTGGTTTCATCTGGAGACCCTTTGTTCTGACTGGACATCATTTGCTTTCCTGCAACATTTTTTATAGCATTATTAAATTATTATCAGCACACTGGGACAGCATTCTCAACACATCATGCTATTAACAGCTTACTTCTCACACCACACCCTTTGTCAGGAATCTTGGTGTGACCTTTGACCCAGCTCTCACCCTGGATGCTCATGTCAGTTCTCTTGTTCGCTCTTCCTTCTTCCATCTCAGGAACGTTGCTAAGCTGAGTCCCATTCTGTCCCGCTCTGAACTTGAGACAGTTCTCCACACCTTCATCTCCTCACGCTTAGACTACTGTAACTCTCTTTTCACGTGTCTGAGCAGAACCTCCCTGAACCGTCTACAGGTGGTTCAGAACTCCTGTGCTCGGCTTCTGACCAAGTCCTCCAAACACACCCACATCACCCCGCTTCTCCTCCAGCTTCACTGGCTGCCAGTCAACTTCAGGGTTCATTTCAAGATCCTGGTTCTGGTCTATAGGGCCTTACATGTACAAGCACCATCATACATTGGTGATCTTCTTAAGCCTGATTTATGCTTCTCCGTCTGCGTCAGTGCAGAGACACGCAACGCCATTATCCGTCCTTGCGTAGGGCACGCAAGTACGTACGGAGTCGAGCCCACTTTTTTAAACATCCGTCGAACGAGACGGATTACGCAAGCTTGTGATTGGTCAGGACGCCGCTGTTGTTTACAGCGCCGCCATTGCAAGGAGAGCCGAGGATAACTAGCGGCAGACACGGAGAAGTTTGAAGAATACCTCGCGAAAAAACTCTAAAAATATGAACGTTTCATTCTCCCGTGACTGGAGGAGTGAAAAGATGCGCAGCAAGCGTTTTATTTGTGGACGGAAATGACAGGAAACGTGGGTTTAGAGGTGGGGAGCGCATGAAGGGGTGGGAGAATGAGAGACAAATATATCCGTGTTAAAAGTCTCTTATATACACAAAAACACAATATAAACACACGATCTTGGACCGGATACATGACAGGATACCACAGAACAGCGCTACGCCCTCTGGTGTCCTGCCGGGGAATTGCTTTGCAACACTCTCCAGGAGACGGAGAAGTATGAGGGCAAAACGCTTCCGTCAATCCGTGTGTGTCTGTCCCTTGCGGAGCTGACGGAGAAGCATAAACCAGGCTTTAGTCCCTACACCCCCAGCAGGTCCCTGAGGTCCAGTGATCAAAGCCTACTGGTTGTGCAGCACCAGGCTAAAGGTCAAAGGTGACAGATCATTTGCTGCTGTGGCCCCCAGACTCTGGAACTCTCTCCCCCTGAGCCTGAGATCAGTGGACTCAGTGGTCTCCTTTAAAAGCAGCTGAAGACTCAGCTGTTCAGGCATTGGTGTGACCTTCATCACCCTAATCCGCCTTTCCCAGGATCCACCGATTTCCTCTTTCCTATTCTTCCTCCCTCTTCATTTCCTTACATTTTTAATCACTTTTTTGTCATTTTAAACATGTTTTTAAACCATTTTTTGAAACTTTTGTTTTTGTGAAGCACCTCGTGATTTTCATCTTAAAACATATAAAATCTTGTTTTCTTTCGTTCTCACAGACGCGTTCCAGTGGAGCCATGGCCCAAGGGTGCACACGAGCACATGTGGGAGTGGCTCTACAACTTTGGTTGAAATAGCTCCGTAACGAGACGCAGTGACAGGAAAAATGTATTCATTTAAATTTATCTCTGTTTCATTTCATTGTATGATGACCTGAAAGGACACCCCTCCAAAATAAAAGAATTTTACATATAATTTTTTAGGGAAGCTATTTTGGGCCCTGGTTAAAAGTGGGTGGGCCGTAGAGCTGAAACAACTAATCGATTTAATCGATTATAATCGATTATTAAAATAGTTAACAACTTTTTTAGTCATCGATTAGTTGTTTAATAATCATATTTTACTGCATAAAGTCTATTTTTACCACAATCTGACATCGATTACAAGCTGTTAAATTTGCCGCCAGTGTGTGGCAGTAATGAGGCACTGATCTACCAGTGGAGCCGTAGAAGAAGAAATGAGCCAATGAGTGCCCTCGGTTTTCATGACGTATCACGTTACTGACGCTCATCTTGCTGTGAGAGATGGCGGAACAAGAGGAAATACGGAAGAAAAATAGAAGCGACAAAACTGAAGAGAAACCGAGTAGGACCTGAGAAACCCCGGACAAAAACCTCACGAGTATGGGAGCACTTCACTCTAGATGCCTTGTAAAGACGGGTGACCTGCAAAATATGCAAAAACCATCTAGCATGGCACGGAAGCACGACGTCCCTAAGTGAACATTTGAGACGAAATCATGTGGGGGCTGATGCAGCAGAGGAAGAGCACCGCGGTCAAGTGAGCCGTCATTTGGAAGAGCCAGCCCGGTAAGTAACAGAAAATAAACAAGCTAACGCAGATCAAATTTGGGAGCTGAGTTCGTTATAGTGGATGTTAAACATGTTTTTTTTTTGCCGCGTCAGTTTACGGTGTTCTACTTCTGATTGACTAGATGCAATCGTGAATCTCCTCCGTGTTGTGAATCATGCGCTTGCCAAATTTAGCACGTCTGTTTATAAGAATGTTCTCGTTAAGAGAAAAACGGCACAAACCCATAACTATGTTCCTCATTCAAAAAAGGACAACTCCGCGGAGAAAAATATACAGACGAGCTGTGTCCAGGTGAATATAACGCGGCATAGTTGTACACTTTCAATTTTTAAATACAGGAGAAATTCAGAAAAAGTCTCTTTTTTTTACTATTAAAAGGCTGTTTTACTATCTAACGCTGTAAAACGCCTCACAACACATTTTTATCATGTTTCTTAAACAGTATTACACAAAATAAACATTTTTCACATTTCTCTAGCTAATTTAAACACTCCCGATTCAGTAAAAACCTCATGAGCTTCTTACTTAGAGCTTTTTAATAGTAAAAAAAATTTGACTTTTTTTCTGAATATCTCCTGTTGTGGGCTATTTTGTAGAACGTAACCCTCAAAATTAATGATCACTGTATATTGTTAAATAATTCAAATAATATAATATTAATTTAGTGTTGTAGTGTGTGTGCTGCTTTATTTTATATGTGTACTTATTTCAGTCTATTTGTGTATCTTATGCAGAAAAAAAGAAGCAAGGATGGACAACTACATGGGGAACAAGACACTCACCCCCCAGCAATTCATACCACTTACAAACTCTATTCTAAACATGCTGGTAAAAGACATGAGGCCACTATCCATGGTGGAAGGAGCAGGCTTCCAGCTAATGCTAAAAAATTATTCTGGACTGATATTTTGCACTGTTTAGCTCATTTTATACTGCTGACTGTGTTCATGTGCAATAAAATAGATTGCAGTCAACTGCACAATTCTCTTATGTTTTTTTTTCTTAACTGAAATGCATCCATCACTTGTATAGGTTAAATAGCTAAACAATAACAAACCGATTAATCGAAAAAAATAATCGACAGATTAATCGATTATGAAAATAATCGTTAGTTGCAGCCCTAGTGGGCCGAGCCATAACCATGCCCCTGATGACAGGTACACACACACACACACACACACACACACACACACTGGTATATGATCTATACTTGTGAGAACCCTACATTGACTTCCACTCATTTTTGTGACTTTACTGTACCTAACCCTTAACCCTGACCTCAACTAAAAGTTTATTCACACCATACCACTAAAACCAGTTATTAGGGTTTTTTCACTGTGAGGACATGGCAAATGACTGCAGTTTCAAACGGTCCCCATGTAAGAGGTGAAAAGTCACAATGAGTCCTCGCAGAGGACGTAAGACATGCATGCATACACACACACACACACACACACACACACACACAATAAAAATAAACCAAGACAAGTGATGGGGAGAAACAAGGATTTTATGCACGAGGTCCAGCTGATCCCAAAAAGCTGATTTTTGCACAAAAAAGCTATTGAAGCTAATCTAGCCCTGCTTTACCCGGTTTTATCAGGTTTAAATCTCATCACACCTGCTTATAACTTATGGGCCATTCCCATCTGTACCGGGTCGGGTCGGGCCGGGTAGCGTAGGTTGTTTACATATCTGTGTGGCCTGGTATTTTTCCGGGCCAACCAAGGCTCATTCTCAGCCCTCTTCTCGAGGGGGTCTGCTTCAGGCCGACCAGGGCCAACACGCCCACTGCTGACAGCAAATTCACACCTTCCATTAGAGCAAGCCCCTGATTGGTGGGTAGAATCAGCCCACATGGGCTTAAGGCAAGGATGTGTGGAATCAACCGGGCCAGGCTGGGGCCGACTGGGGCTACCCGGCCCGGGCCGACCCGGTACAGATGGGAATGGCCCATTAGTGAGGAGCCTGGTCTCAATTATTATCTCACACAAACATGATCGCTGGCTAAAGTAGGTGGAGCTCATTTTGTTTCAATAGCTACATTCTTGTGTTTCACCTATTGAGACCAAATTTTGTATTTGGGGTCATTTAAAAAAATAAACATTAACCCACTAGATGAGTCCTGGTTAGATATAGAACAGACACTTTGCAATACGATAGAGCTTTCAGACTTACCATTTATTAGCTCAAGCATAAGAAAACATGAAGGCTTCAAAAGTATTAGTATCAGCGCCTCTCTGACAGCATGGTGGGAGTATCTTAAAATGACAGTCTTCACTAGTACCATGCAGCTTTTTAGAATATCACCAAATTAAATCTGTAGTCAAACAAAAATTTAAGCTCAATAAAACAGAATTACAAACACCACCAAGGGTATTAGACTTCTATAATCTCAACCCCCCCCCCCCCCCCAAACTACTGTCTAAAGTATATATGACACTGTCCAAAATAGACGATAGAATAGTAATCCCTATTGAAAAATGGGAGGTGGATCTATCAGTCAGCTTTGACCAGAACTTCTGGTCCCAAACTTGTTTAAAACTTTTAAAATGATCAGAAACCCCAATTTACAATTAATTCAGTACAAAATTCTACACTATACAGGTCATCGGATGTTCAAGATGGGGTTTGTGTCGTCTGACACCTGTACACACTGCACAAACAACATTCCTGACAATTACATTCATGCACTGTGGTCCTGTCCACCTGTCCAGGAATTTTGGGGTAGAGTGTGTGAGGACTTGTCAAAGTTTCTGAAATGTCATATCCCAACCACCCCCTCTTTTTGTTTACTGGGAAACCTGGACGATGTCCTGATTGAAACATCTGTGGTTCACTTGGTTCTGACTGCCATATGCATCGCTAAGAAAACTATCCTCTTGAATTGGAAATAGAGAAACTCTCTGCATTAACCAGTATAGAAATCTTTCGTCAGATCATATTACACTTGATATAGCCTCTGCTTCCACTTCAGATCAATCTCTCTGGGCTCCTTTGATCGGTTCCATCACATAGCGATGACAGGGGACCATTGATATTGTCCTACCGGATGATGTGGGTGGTGGGGGGGGGTCTGAGTTTGGAGTATCCGGATATTCCCTGGAGGTGGGTTCACTGGGGGTGTCTGGGACTGGGGGGGGGGGGCGTTGCCCCCCTCTGGAGGTGCTTGAGTTGCCTCGGGGGGTGGACTACTGGCGGTTGTGAGTGGGGCCCCTTGGAGGTCTTGGTGGCGGCCGTGGGTAGCTGCCTGGCAGCTGCATTGCCCCTGGGCAGGTCTGGGTGGAGGCCTGGGGGCTCAGGGTGTGGGGGTGGCCGGCCCCGTGTGGGGATCTGGGCAGGGCCTTGGGGTCGGGTCCTGACATGTATGCTGCCGGGAAGAAGGCAGGAACATGCAGCAATGCCTGGCCCGGGTTCAGGGGCCTCGGGTAGACCTTGGCTCCTCTGCTGTTCCATCACAGGGGAGGGGGACGTCCAGGAGGGGGAGGACCCAACCTTACCTGGATGTCCTATGTCTTATATATTCTGGAAGTTGTGCAAATACATGGCTGCCTGGTGGGGTCTGGGTCCCTGGGCTCTGCTGGGTCCCCGGCGGGGGTGGTCGACCCTGGGTCCCGGGTCGCTGGGTCCCGGGTCGCTGGGTCCCGGGCTCGGCCGGCTAGGGGGTGGGAGGCTGCGGGCGGGCCTGTGGGCTTGCCGTTGAAATCTCCCGGGACTCTGCCGGCTGCTGGTTGTGGCCCCCCGGGGCGATCCTCTGTGCCTCTCGAGGGGGGCGGGGGCCTTTCTGGTTGCAGTCTCCTTGGGGTTCCTGTGTTCTGGGGCAGCGCCTGGATCTCTGGGTTTTGGAGCCCCCCCCCTACACATCTTTGGGGGGTGGATCTGTGGTCCCTCACACTCTCTATTGGACGCTCCTATAGATAAACCTTACATAAACAAGCGCGTGTACACACACAGGTGCTCACATAAGTATGGACTTGGGCACGTTCAACACATGTCTTAAGGCTGTCGTTGCCACTAAATGCACTGTGATTTATTATCGTGTGATTGTTAGTTAAACAATGTTGATTTTATACTTCATCATCAGGTTGACGCAGTGATAGCTTGCTCTTGATGTATTGTTGTGTCCCTTTTTTTTCTGCTCTTCTCTTTCTGCAGGTCTAGAAGCAGATTCTTGTTCATTAGTTTATTTTTGTGGAAGAGAACAGACGCCTCGGTAGAACATGAACATTGGAACAAGCCTTGGCGGTTCCTGATAACGTATCCCCTAGGCAACCGGGGCAGGACCAAGGCATCAAGGTAAGGTTCCTTGGCATTGAGAAACACCCTTAGACCCGCTCATGTACTTTAGACCCGATTTTTATGGTTATATGTTATGAAACTGTCAATGTTTTTCCAACAACTGGGCATCTTTTAATTCATTTCAATGGATATTTCCAGAGATTCATGGTAAAAACTACTCATTGTCCCTTTAAGCTTAGCAAACATGTTTTCATGGATTCATACGACAATAATCCTACAGAACTCATCATTCTGATAATAAAACTTTATTAGAGCTCACGTATGATTCTGAAACAACCACATGGACAGCCTCGGACAAACACACATATGCAAATGATACCAAAAACAGTTGATGTGAATGATTGTGTGCTGAGACAACACTAGATCTCACAGGTCACACCGTTTCCACCGTATTTACAGCTTTACGTGCCAGTGAAACACCAAAGCAACGCTGTGGTCAAACAGCAACTTGTTCTTCGTAAAATCAAGCAGTGAAATTGATTTTGAAGAGAACCGTCTGCGGCGTGGTGACGTCGGCTACGGCTATTTCCTGGCCATCGGACAAGCCCAGTTCTACAACAGGAGAAAAACTAATGATTGTGAATTTTGATGACAAACATTTGGACTCGAGTTTGTTGGTTCCTCTTTACCTTTTAGAGTTTTGCAGAGGTTTGGTCTGGTGCGCTCCTCGATCGATTTTACAGACTAAAACAAAATACAGGTTTAGTGACAGACCACGGCAGAAGCACTGAAAGGATGACGGTAAATAATTACCTGCAGGTACAGCGTCTTGTTCTTTCCTTCCAGAGTGGTGGTGATAGCAGGCGACTTCATTTGTCTGCAGGCAAACACAACAGTCATCAGCTGGTCGGGGGGTCTTTAAAGGTGCGACTGAACCGCGCTGCTCTGGAAACTCACAGAGAGGCGTTTTCTGTCAGGTACTCTAAAACCTCCTGGAGTTTGGCAGAAGGAGGGAACTGGAGGTCCTGCGGGACTTGACTGCACGCCGTACAATTTTCCTGTCGGTCAAGGACGGATCAGACAACTGAACGTTCTCATGGGTTCAAATGTTGGCACGAGGCTGTCAGAGTCCAGCTGGACAAACCAAACCTTTCTCTCTGCTTCAAACGTGTAGGTGTACAGTCCATCCACGTCGTTGAAGACAAGGTAGTTGTTTAAGGGAATATAAGCACTGAAAAACAGCACCACCACATTTAGATGAAGCACATGGCAGAATGTGTAAAGCTTGGTTTATGCTTGACGCGTTCCCTTTCCGCGGGGTGATGCGGCTCGCGGCTGGAACGCGCTTCACAACTCGCAGCGTTTATGGTTCATGCGGCTCGTCTCTGCGGTGAGCCGATATTCTCCCAAACTGTAGGGGGCAGCATGGAGCTCTACGGCATGCATCCAACACTACACCATAGTAGAAGTACAAATTACTGTTTACAACATGGCATTCCAGCATTTTTAACAGCGTCCTCGTCTTTTCCGACAGTGCGAGCTATTTCTCTCCAAGAATTATTAACAACATGTTGATCACGGTGATCTCTGAGAGCTGAATCATACAAATGTCTGTATTTACCAACCTCTGCCATACTAGTTCTTGCCAGTTCACCATGTTTTTCTGCGTCTGACCGTCCGCGTGGTTAGAAAATTTCCTAGGTGCGCGTTGCGGAAGTTTTGGGCCGTGCGGAGGCGCGGTGGAGGGGCGTGGCTGTTAAAATGATGCAAAATGGTGCAACTTTTCCGCGCGGAGCAGTGCGGACCTCGCGGACGCGTCAAGCATAAACCAACCTTAAAGGTGCCTCTGAAACTAACCTCGTAGCAATTTTAAAAACTTCTGTTGCACAGGCAGCTGTGGAGAACAAACGTAAAGACATTTACTGGGTTTAGCTGAAAAAGCAGGTTTACACTAGAGAATATGGACTTCACTGGCTCTTTTCCCTGAAAATCGTTTTCGGAAACCATCCGAGAGGATCTCAGTGTGGCCGACCAAACCCAACACTGTCAGATTTCACCGTCCTAAAGGGGTTTGGCTGCTTTATAAAAGCCATTTTGAGTCAAAACACAGGAGCTCTAACTGCTTTTAAAGGTCAAAGGTCACCAGGAACCGAACAGCACTTCAGCAAACATAATCCATGCTGCTGGATGGAAACCTGCTTTAATGACACCCAAAGGCGTCAGAGCTAACAGCCGTGAGTCGGATCGACGGCCCAGCGGACGCCAGCGTCGGTTTCACAAACGTAACGTTCATACCGGCGATAACGGCGTTGGTCGAAGCCACCGCAGGGATGATCCTTTTCACAACTCCTGCAACGAGACAATGAAAATCACTTAGTCAGTTCTGCTGGACAACCGGGACGATGCGACGCCGTTGGCGCCGAATCAAGGAGAGCTAGCTCCCAGCCTCACCTTGCGTGAGTCTGTATGTGATTCCTGTGATGTGGAACTCTGCCGCTCTCTCCTGGGACCGTTCAAACACCCACTGGATGTGTTCTGGATTGTCCCCGTCTAGACTGGTGTCTGGCAGGAAAGAAGAACGGATCAGTCCTTCTGACAAAGTCCTTTTAAAGACGTGATGTGGGCTTTGTGGCGCGTTTCTGTTTAGAAAAGTTATACAGTGATCCCTCATTTATCGCGGTAGATGCGTTCCAGACCTGGCCGCGATAGGTGAAAATCCGCGAAGTAGGGACTCCCAGCATGCCCCTCGCGGGGATTCCCTCCACGTCGCACCTACGTCACAAACCGCGGCTATAAACGGAAGTCGCCTTTCCAGCTCACCACTCAGTCATCGTTTCTTCAGATTCATGATCAGAGTTTCCAACCTACCGATCAATCCAACGAACTATCAGCTCATAGTAAGTTATCTTACTTACTTCTGGAAAGCCCGGCATTTCCGTGTCACTTCGTTGACGCTCGAACGCTCGGGGGTTTCCTAGAGCAGCCGGCGTTTCACCGACGCTATCACTTCCGCGTCTGTGAAACCACGCTCCCTACAAGCTCAACTCCCTAATCCAGCCGACCAGTCTTGCATACAGTACTATACTGAATTATCGTATGATCACATTCTCTTTTTGTGGGTAAAACTCAAGAAAAAAAATTTTTACTTGGTTTTTTTTATAGTTTTATTACAAAACGTGCATTTTATGATGAAATTGATGAAAAAGAAAACAGGAATTTCTTGATATTTTGCATAGAAAAATACCGCAAATCTGCGAATTTCCCTTGAATAAGGCTCCAAAAAAATCTGCGAAGTCGTGAATCCGCGATAAACGAACCGCGAAGTAGCGAGGGATCACTGTAATCCGTCATCCTCCCAGCCAACAACCTGCTCGGAGAAATAAGAGGTTACCTCCTGAAGGACTGATGAGCTAACAGCTAGTCTGAACCCAAAGTGTCCTGCTGCCGTCTTCCAGCAGCTCCAGTCTCCAACAGATCACAGCAGTTAAAGCTAATCTTATTCTGTAATCCTTTAGATTGCCCAATAACACATTTTACATGCAGTAAGAACCAGATTTAGGCTAAAAACACCAGAATAGATGTGGCGGTGGCCATGTAGGGCGTTTCACACCAACACCCTCTCAGTGGGAGTCGGATCAGACCTCCATCTGACACGACTACCAGATGACGGCTGGGAGCTGGAGCCAAACGTCCCTCAGCCAGGGGGGCTTAGCATTCCGGGATGTCGTAGAATACACCAACTGTAGCTGGCCCACACGGATGGAGGTGGTTCTGTGTTTGTCTGCATACCTCCAAACGGCTGTTCTTTGGGCCACTGTAGGATTCTGGCGTACTCGACGCAGTGTTCTGGCAGCCGTGGCATCGATGCGATGGTGCACATCGGGAAATTGATCTGTGGATTGGAAGATCCGGCGGGAGGCGAAGCCCTGATTAGAGGCAGCAGTAGAAACCTTCGAGTATATTCAAGAAAGAAATCAGCATCAAAATGGTCCGTCATTCATGTTCTAAAACCCATTTTATATCCAATCGTCTTTTCTGGACCAAAACATTTAATGTTTGAGTGATAAGCTCGTTAAAAGCTGTGCTCAGATTTAGTTTCACACCTAAGTCCCACTCAGATGTCTGTGTCCTGGTTTTCCCACTCTTCATCGGATTGTTCTGTTTAGTCCGGCAGCTGCAACAGCCGTGCTTTCATTCCAACAGCTAAAGATGTCAAAGGGAAAAGCACCTCGGAGGCTTTCCGACACACAGCACAGTGGCCGTGTTCGAGATGAGCCAGTTCTGCGCAGGTTAGATCAGCGGTGAGCGGCGAGCAGTGCATGCCGGTTAGATTTGTGTCCGACTTGAAGCCGACGTGCTCTGACGTCATGCCTACGTAGGCAACGATAACCTCGTGAGATCAAGGCGGCTGCAGATTTTGGAGCAAGGCGCTGCAGTTGCTCTCCACCGGCTGCTAAACCTAGAGGATGACGGGAAACGGCTGGTTCTCACCTGATCTAGGATCTGATTGGTCCTTATCTTGATCCAAACATCCGGTGGTAGAACATGAAACGTTAGTTGGTCACATGTATTCTGTAAATCATGTTACGTTGATGATGACAACTACATAGGCCATAAAGAGAAATGTGATTTGTGTTCTTTTGTCACGTTTCCTATGAGCACACTAAACCTACAGCTGATAACCTTTACTTATTATTACAGTCATGTCTCCGTAAAATCCAGCATTTTGATTGGTCTAGGCCCCAGATGGATATAGGAGGCTACTCCTGAGACATTCCTGAATATTCCTGAATATTTTCAGACATTTCCTTTTTTCTGGGGTTAAGTGATCATATCTGATGATTACATAATGAATCCATAATGAAGATAATATTAGGGTTCACTACTGTGACAGAGTGACAATTATCCCAACAGTAGCAACAAAAGTGATGATGATGATGATGATGAAGATGATGATGATTTATTTGGCAGACGCTTTTATCCAAAGCGATGTACAATAGTTAACCTACAGGGCATGTTGTGATCTGTGGGGAGAACATGCAACACCCGCAGCCGGGTTTCAAACCTGCAACCTTTCTGCTGCGAGGCAACAGTGCTAACAACTGCGCCACCATGCACCATGATGATGATGATGATGATGAAGAACTGGTTTAGGACAAACTGTAGGAACTTAAAGGACTAGTCCACTTCACAATAACTTCCAACAATTTTAACTGTAATCTGCTTTTTTTCCCGGAACTGCGCTGCTCTGGGTGGCTGCATGTTGGAGTAGCGCTGTTGACTAGATGTAAGTTTTGCCTTTTTTTGGGCATTTTTTCTTCTAGTTTCTCAAGAGAAACGGTATTTTTGGACACTTTATTTTTCTGTTTCTGGTGCTGTGAAGCTTGGAGGATTTTTACTGCTATTTTTTTTAGCTTTTTTCACTTTTTGAGCATTTGTTATGATGCGTAACCATGGCAACAAGCTGTTTACAATCGGGAGCAGCTGATTAACATTGGAAAGGCTGAAATAACACATCAACTGAAGCCACAAAATCCCAAATGAGCTAGAACGCAAGAAGCGTGGGTGCAGAGCGGGAGCAAAACGGAGGCAGAGAAAGAGGAAATTCAAACCATCTCTTCCATCGATCATAATGGGCGATGTGAGATCACTGGCCAACAAGATGGAGGAACTCCAAGCCCTTTCAAGGACTCAGCCAGAGTATTGGAACCGCTGGAGGAGATAATGCAAAGAAGGATTCTCCAGAGAATCAAGAAAATGATGGACAACCCTGAGCATTCTCTTCACAAGACTGTCCGACAACAGAAGAGTGTCTTCAGTCAGAGGCTTCTTCAGTTTGGCTGCAACACTGACCGCTACTGGAGATCCTTCCTGCCAACAGCCATTGTAATATACAACAACTCTTTGGTGACTTGATTATTATTATTATTCTGAGCTACTACAGCGATCAATTTCCTCTGGGATTAATAAAGTATTTTTGAATTGAATTGAATTACAGGGACTCTGAGGTCCTACCAAGTATTTTTAAAGTGCAGAGCAAAGCGTCCAAATGTCAGAGGTCACTACAACACCCGGTGTTGGACACTAATCTGCAGCACAGGAGGACATTGTCCAACGCGTCTCAACAATGTCCTGCCTGGGACTCTTGACTGTCCAGCATAGCTCCAACGCTTTCACCAACACTGATCTATGAAAGGATTCATTACTCATTCACGGTCAGCTGTTATCTGGTCAGAAAGCCCGACTGGCAGCGTTTTTGAGTTTGTGCTCTATGACCTTAAAACATCTTAAAACACCCAAACTACCAAACGAAAGAGCAGACTCACTTCTTCCATCAGGAAGAATCGGCACGTTTCTAGCTTTGTTTGTTCTTCCACAACCCGTCGTCAGAAATGTGAGCGCTTTGCGGCGTGCTTTAGGGAGTCCCAAACCGATCTCCTAACTCACAGGTGTCAAACTCCGGTCCTCGAGGGCTGCTATCCTACACGTTTTAGTGTTTTCCTTTTTTCGACATACCTGATTTCAATCATCAGGTGATTAACAGGCCTCTGGAGGGCTTGATGAGCTGCTGCACAGGTGAATCAACTGTGTTGGAACAGGGAAACAACAAAAAGATGCTAGATACTGGCCCTCGAGGGCTGGAGTTTGACACCCCTGTCCTAACTCATGGATTGTCTGCTTCCTGATCACGTGACATGTGACACACACGGATGTAGATCAGCTTTTGAGCCGTGATGTTTACTCTCGAGGTGCGCGAGCTCGTTCCCACGCCCGCCCCGTTAAAAAAACGTAATGGCAGCAAGCGGCCAGATTCTAAATCACGACTTTAGTCGCCAATGGCAGTGAAAGAGTAAAGTACGGCGGGACACACGAGAGCTGAAAGGTGTGAGGTACCTGTGGTGGGTACAGCTCCAGAGTGCAATCAATACACGCTGTCATGCCAGGAAGAATGACGCGAGCATTTCCCTTAAAGCCCTCCGTTCCTCCATCGATGAGGGGAATGATGGAGCTGGGATCCAGGACGCCGTCCTCATAGCCCAGGAGGGATATCTGAAGGAGGTTATCATCCGAGACTGTAGCAACAAAAGCGGAAGATGTGGATCTCTAAATGATTTATAATTTCATCTACCAGCATTCCATTTATCCAGCGTCGGGCCACGATGGAGTCAAGTCCACAGACGATGATGTGGAACTCTGCAAAGAGAACATTCATGCTTTAAAATCGGGTGAACGTCTTGTTTGCCGAGTCTCATCGAGAAAAAGAACACTCACGCCTGTAGAATGACTCATCAAAGTCTTGGATCTTTTTAAAGTGACTGTGCGTTTTTTGTTCAGGAAGAAACGTCAATCCGGTATAAAATTCACCAAAGATGAGGAGCTTTTAGGGCAAGGATACGGGACTACTTTGCATCCTGGGATGCGGCGGTTGATAAAGTCAGCCGCCACTTCTGCCTTCGGTCTCCCGACATCTTTGGGCCTACGTGGTGCAGAAAAAAGGTTTTATAAACCTCCTGAGGAGTGCACATACTCGAGCTGTTACACCATAAAATAAACACATTTTCTGTCAAACAGACGGACAGATTTTTGTAAACGGGTAAACAAGATGAGATTAAAGACTGACCTGAAGAGAAACTGCCTGTTGAGGTTAGACACATCAATCGTATCCATGTCCACCACATGAATGAGGCGAAACCCTGACAGCGCCTAAAACATCAAAAATGACCCGTTCAATCCAGCATCAACGGTCCCCGATCGGCTAGGGTTAAAGGTCTTGTCCTACCAGGTTTTTAAGGAGTTCACATCCAAGTCCTCCAGCCCCAATGACTAGAATCTTGCACGTCTCCAACAGAAACTGCAGAGACTGACAGAACAGAAGGTGTCGAGTTAGGCGAAGTGATGCATCGATACGGTTAAACGGCGTTTCTTAATCACCTCAGTGCTTGGCTCAAAGTCAGGATGTGTAAACGGTCCTGGTCTCTCCAAAAACTTCCTCACATGATTCCAGCGACCTTCCCAGTAGCAACCTCCGTCCCTGTGTCCGCTTTCGACCGCCATTCTGGAAACGCAGCACGCCGCAAACCTCTGAGCACGGACTAGGTCTTAGTGCATGAAGGCATCATAGTACAGGCATTGTCGTTCGGTTGTGTCACATCGCACACGACAGCAGCAACGAGGAGAACTCAAACACCTCCAACCTAACGCTCCATAACACCTGCCTGCTTCTAGGGACACTTACTCTCAGGCGAGACACTTCCTGTTGCCTCTAAACATTTTTATTCATTAAAGTTAATTATGTAAAGTAGGGCAATTCAGCACTCATTCATCTGCACCTCAGAGAAACCCTCACTCCTGTTTTGAGCTTGTTGCTCTCTAGGATCGAGAGGAGCTGGTGTCCAACTCCAGCAGTCCTCTGGCAAGAGACAGAGGAGACTGGACAATAGGGATGCACCGATACAATACTGGTATCGGTATCGGCGCATATACCAATACCAGTATCAATATCGGTAAAAGTTAACCGATACCAATGCAGTTGATTGAAAATGGCTTCCCTGTAACTTGTCATTTCTGTTCACCTAATATTTTAGTTTTGTGATGATTTCCATTCGTATATTTTACTTTTTATCTACCTCGCAGTCTTTTCCTGTTGAAAGCAGAGAAGAAAATAAAATCTGTATTCCAAATCATTGCATTTTTTTGTGTGGTAGAATTATCGGTATCGGTAATCGGTATCGGCGACTCCTCAGATCCAAGTATCGGTATCGGTGAGTCCTCAGATCCAAGTATTGGTATCGTATCGGTTTGGAAAAAAGTGGTATCGTTGCATCCCTACTGGACAGGTCTCCAGTCCATCACAGGGACACAGTCTCACACTCACTCACTCACACCTGGGAACAACTTAAACGTATCTAAATAACCTGAAAATACATGTTTGTGGCCTGTTAAAGGAAGCTGGATTACGCATGCGTGGGGAGAAGCTGCAGCAGGGATTCAAACCTGCAACCCTAGTTTTGAATCTCCACCATGAAGCCTCTACATACATGCTGCACCCTGCTGAGCTTCATGACACCGCTTGTGTTGTGTGTACATCACCTGTGCTACTGTAGGTGAGACCTTTAAATGAAACATTATCCTAGAGACTGCTCCTTCACCTGTCTGAAGCATCTAGCTAACCCCCACGCATCGCCACGCATCAGCGGGGTTAGGGTTAGCGCATTAGTTTGATCGCATGCTGTGTAAACGCAGTGTTTTTAACACTAGCAGCTAGCTGTCCATCTCCTCTGGCCCAGCAGCAGCAGACCTGCTGCCACTCAGACCTTTACTTAGCGTGTTAGCGTTCGTCACTAACTTCTCAGTCAGGTCTTCTATTCGCCTTCTTTTCTTCTCCCTGGAAGGAAAACAGTGATTTTCTGGTTTTAAAATGTCCCATTTGGAGTTAAAAGGACACATTATAAAAAGGACAGCGTTATTTTAATGTCCATTGAGACTTACGGCTCCTCGGCATCCGCCATACTTTCACGGTCCCATGTCCTCGATTCAGCCTGATGCGTTCACGGGAGTCAAAGATGCGTAGGGTTTTAGACAACACACCCCAGCGTACCAAAAAGGGCATTAAACATATCCTCATAGAAGTTAAAATACATAATGTATGATAACATATAAAGGTATTTTTGAAAAAAAAAACTTGTTTAGCTTTTGTCGTTTCCACTACCCCGTTATACAATACGCTTTAAGCATTTTGCAGCGCAAGTTTAACACTCTACATATAAAAATGTGCCTGATCTCGCGAGATACGAGAGTACATAGACTGCGTAGAAGATCATCAGCTGACCTGTCAAAATATTACGCAGCGCGTGCAGGAGTGTTTGTGTTTTGATGACTGAAGTCATGGCAGCCAAAATGGAGCTGGCTCCTCTCAGACCGTGGGACGACTTCTTCCCCGGGGCGGACCGGTTCGGTAAACCAGAGTTCGGAGACCTGGCCAAGTGGAACAACAGAGTGATCAGTAACTTAATGTACTACCAGACTAATTATTTCGCCGCGGCGCTGGTGGTTTTCCTAGTTGTGGGGTGAGTATTAGCTGCTAGCTAAAGCAGGTTAGCATGTAGCTCCGAGCGTCTGCATACCTTTACACCCACACCCATCATGGCTGTTTCCCTGGCTAGTGCCGATTTTCTTTCCTTTAACAGCCTAAATAATCACAATTAGCGTGTTTACATGATCCTATTGTCACGTTATGCCCGTAACTTTGACAAAGTTCAAACTTTTATGGAATAAGTTTGGTGGAGTTCTCTGTAAAGCTTTTAAGTTCCGTTGTTGTTCATTATTTCTATAAATGAGAAATGGAAACAATGATGCGTTGGAAACAGTGGGTAGAGTCAGGCCTTCCTCTCACTCGTGAGCAAACCCACCCGGGGCAATTACCACCATCACCAGCAGGTGGTGCTGTTTGTTTAAACAAGAAGGAACTTTCCCACACCCAGTAGTAAAGTCAAATGTCATCCTCCTGTTCCAATGGCCAGGTTCCTGAATCCCATCGGCATGTTCCTGGGAGGCGCTGTGGTGACGGTGGTCTTCGCTGGTTCTGTGTGGGCTGGAGAAAATAAGGCCACCATCAAGAACTTCAAAAGGAAGAACCCTACTCTGTTTGTGGTCGGCGTCATGGTGACCAGTTACTTTCTGCTGTCTCTGTTTGGTGGTGTCATGGTCTTCATCTTTGGGATCACCTTCCCTTTGCTGTGTGAGTCTCACGGTTATACGACTGTTTCCAGTTATTTCCTTTTGTTTTCAGTATTACTGAGAGGATTCTGCTTTCAGGCAATCTGATGTGTTCATCAGCCTCACAAGTACTGTTACAGTATTCCAGTTTCCATTAGGTCCAGGCTAAGCTTCATCCCATCCCAGGAGGCCTGCCCTCTGCTGCCTCTGTTGCTACGGGTTGCTGTTTTAGACAGAACCACTTTTACTGGCTGATGTCATGCATTCAGTATCAGGCCATCATGGAAATAAAACACATGCCAGCCCATACACCTGCCACTGTTTGAAGTCCCACAGCAGCGTTTTATTTTTATTTTTATCCAGCTCTAATCATGAGGTTTCAAATGTGCTAATTTATCTAAACGGCTTCGTTTTTGTTCCCGCAGTGATCTTAATCCATGCGTCACTCAGACTGCGCAACATGAAGAACAGGCTGGAGAACAAGATTGAAGGTATTGGGTTGAAGAAGACTCCGATGGGGATGATCATGGATCTCCTGGATCAGCAGGAGGAGAAGATCAACAAGATTCAGGATTTCATTGAGAGTAAACTGAAGGAGTAAAGGTCGATCCGAGAAAGTGCCGAGGAAGAGAGGTTCAAGACAGCTGCAGCTTTACGCCACGTGTCCCGGTTTTACCCCCACACACACACAAACCTACTCACACGTGCATTCCCACTTAGCTTACTTTGTGTTGTTGTCCATCAATGCTAGTCCACACTGTTTAAAGTGTACACATAGAGAGCAACATGACTATTTTTGTTCATTTTAAGTTGAAAGGCATGTTGCACTGGAGGTTACCAAAGGTCAGAGCATCCCCATGTCCAAAAAAAGTAATTTCTTTAGTTTACAGTGCATTTAAGATCAATAAGATGTCTATTTATTTCAGTAAAGCAAAGTGGAAGATTCACCCGAGTCTCCACAGCTGACTACCAAACAAAAACGATTTTTGTTTCTGTTTTCTATCTCTAAATGTTCGTTTCTCACCTGATTTAATAGACCCATGTGAATGGGATACACGGCCCTGGGTGTGAGCTGCTGTCCGAAGGGCAGTGCTGTCATTAGGATGTGTATAAAAATGGATCTGAGATTTGTTGCTACGGTCCATAATAATAATAATAATAATAATAATAATAATAATAATAATAATAATGACACGGGAGTGTGGGCTTTCCTGTCGTCAGTGGTTTTGTGTACAGAGACAGCGTGTGTCCCCTCTGAATGCAGCTATGCAAAACTGAAAAGTGAATGGCAAAGGCAGTTGTATTCTTAGTGAGTCGCAGCATGTATCAGATGGTTTATTCTGATGCATCATTTTTACAGAAGCATGCAGAAGTCTAACGTGGCAGCAGGACTCGAGTAAATTCTGGTCTAGAGCGATGTAAGTAAGTAAAAGTGTATTTATATTGCGCCTTTCTCAGATATAAATCACAAAGCGCTGTACAACATGATAAAGATCAGGGCAAATACCTCCAACCAATAAAAACATCAGAAAAACAATAGCAGTGATAAACGTAGAAAATAAAATCAGGAGTATAAACAAAGTGAAGGTGTGAACCCGAACAAAGCCATCTTTTAGAACATTTAGGGAGGGAACGCCTGGATGAAAAGGTGAGTTTTTAGATGATTTTTAAAGACCTCTACAGTGTTAGAGAGACGGAGATTTGAAGGCAGACTGTTCCAAAGTCTGGGTGCAATAGTCTGAAAGGCCCTGTCCCCTTTGGTTTTCAGTCTGGTTCGAGGAACAGCCAGGAGATTTTCAGATGTGGATCTAAGATGTGTGTGTTTCCTTATCAGAACCCGTCCTTGTTTTCATGTTTATTTAGTACAGCTTATTTATTTGGTGCTCTTATTGTGTTTTTGCTGTTTTTCCTCTTTGCATGCCACCGCGACACCTCACACACGGAACAGGTGGTGTGTGTGATATAGTTTTTACAAAGTCATAAATTACAGCATAAATCATTTGTATGGAACTTTTTTATTCTTGAGAAGCAAATAATGAACTGGAAATAAAGTTAAGCCATACTCAGTCCAGTCCTTCTATGAAGTCCTTTTTTCTGTTTGCTCTAAAAGGTTAAATGTTAGAATCCGTGAAGACTTTGCCTACCAACTGTAGTACCACTAAACAGACACAAGAGGGCGACACTAGTCCAGCAGAAGGTTGACGTCCACCTGTATCACCGTGTTAAACACAACTAACTTCATTGTATTCAAAGTTCATCTGATCAACTTTGGTCACTCCAGAGATCCTGATTGAGCTCCTGTTCAAAGCCCCTGTTGCCATGGTGACCTGTCGCATGCCACTTACGTAAGTATGTTTATGTATTTAGCAGACGCTTTTGTCCAAAGTGACTTCGTCGTCGTCTTCCTCCGCTTATCCGGGTCCGGGTCGCGGGGGCAGCATCCCAACTAGGGAGCTCCAGACCGTCCTCTCCCCGGCCTTCTCCACCAGCTCCTCCGGCAGGACCCCAAGGCGTTCCCGGACCAGATTGGAGATGTAACCTCTCCAACGTGGCCTGGGTCGACCCGGGGGCCTCCTGCCGGCAGGACATGCCCGAAACACCTCCCCGGGGAGGCGTCCAGGAGGCATCCTGACCAGATGCCCAAACCACCTCAACTGACTCCTTTCAATCCGGAGGAGCAGCGGTTCTACTCCGAGTCCCTCCCGAATGTCCGAGCTCCTCACCCTATCTCTAAGGCTGAGCCCGGCCACCCTACGGAGGAAACTCATTTCGGCCACTTGTATCCGCGTTCTCCTCCTTGAACCGTCACCTTATCGTGGTGGAGGAGTTTCAGTGTCCTAATGATCCTAGGAGCTACATTGTCTGGGGCACTTTGTGCCCCTGGTAGGGTCTCCCATGACAAATTGGTCTTAGGTGAAGGGTGAGACAAAGAACGGTTCACAGGATCTTTCATGGAGGTAAATTCAAAGAGTCGGAGTACCCGGCCTGAGGGTTACCGGGGTCCCACCCTGGAGCCAGGCCTGGGGTTGGGGCTCATGAGCGAGCGCCTGGTGGCCGGGCTTTCGCCCATGAGGCCTGGCCGGGCCCAGCCCGAACCGGATACATGGGCTCATCCAACTGTGGACCCACCACCCGCAGGAGGAACATGAAGGGTCTGGTGCAATGTGGATCGGGTGGCAGACCGAGGCGGGAGCCTTGGCGGTCCAATCCCCGGACAAGGAAACTGGTTTTTGGGACATGGAACGTCACCTCCAAAGCGACTTACAGGTGAACGCCAGCAGGTTGCCCTTGAGGCTAACAACAAACACTTCAGGCAGTCCTAGGTGGCAGTGAGGCAGCATAATCGATCACAGAGCGAACAAGGAGTGTGCAGTATGTTGTACTCCGTCTGGCACGAAAAGGGCGTTGTTAAAGAATCTTAGCTCAGGGTGCTCGATGACCAGGCCCCCAAAGCTCCCAGCAGTCCTCCTAAGAGAAGAATTAACCTGTTTTCGGTTGATGTTGATCCTTCCTGGTTGCCCATATCGCCACGATTGCCGTTCATTGATGGTGGAAAAAGCTATTCTCATTTGTGGGAAGTCCGTGTGGAGCTGGGACAAATACCCTTTGATCTGAGAAGGTCCACCGGAGAAACAAGACCCAGATCGTTTCCTCCAGCGTGGACAACCAGAACGTCAGGGGGACCGTGTGTGGGAGACTCTTAGTAAAACCTGGGTAGGACACCCCCCCAGCGCATGTCTTTTTTGCCAAACCACTGGACAGTGGCTTTGAGACCAAAGTTTGCCCCAAACTGCTTCTGAGCACTTATCTAGTGTTCAATAACCCACATTTAATTTTTCTAATTTTCTGCTCAGTTGAATTTGTTCTAATATTCATGAGATTTCCATGATTTGCTTTATTAAGCCTGATATTTCATCTGTGATTTTGGCCGTAGGCAGGCCACTGTCTCTATGGGGTAGTGGGTGGGTAACAGTACAGAAGCTGCAGAGGGGTGTGTTAAAAGTATCTCTGCCTGTCACGATCAGAACTTCAGAAGACCCGTGAAAACGCCAAACACAGGAAAAGTAGATAAAGTCGTTTATTTTCTAAAGAGTTACCAGAGGTGGGCGAGGCTGGAGGCAGAGTCGGAGACAGGCGAAGGTCGTGGTGGCAGGCAGAGTTCAAGACAGGGGTCAGGAGCAAAAACAAGGTCCGAAGGCTGAGATCAGGCAGGGTGAATGGCTGGAAGATTTACTTGCGTGGGCTTTCAATAATCTGGCAGGGAACTGGTGGCTTACAGGTGAATACATAGCAGGGGGAGCAGGTGAAGTGGATGAAGCTGATGACAGGAACAGGTGAGATGAATGGAGTTGATGAGGTGCCGACTGAGGTTGCTAGGGAAAACAGGGCTTGGCTGTAGCTTGATGAGGGGACCAGGTGTGCTGAATGAAGGCAGAAAGATGGGAGTCATGACACTGCCAGAAACCAGAGAACTCAGGCCCTGTCCACACGTAGCCGGGGATCTGCCAAAACGTAGGTATTTTTCTACGTTTTGGCCTGTCATCCACACGAAAACGGAGTTTTTTCACACGAAAACGGATCTTTTTAAAAACTCCGGCCAAAGTGAAGATCTGCGTTTTCTCCGTTTTGGGTGTTTGCGTGTGGACAGACAAAACCGGAGTTTTAAGGTCCGCAACGTCTCTTTCCGCGACAAAAAATGCTGACATCACGTGTGCGACCTGTGTTTACACTAGCCGACAGCATGGATGCCCTCAGAGCTGCGCTCGCTTTATCAATTGTCCAAGCGCTTTCTGCTTGTTTGTTTTTGCAAGCGGAATTACTGCTCCTTGTGGAAGACCACAGACGAAGGACGAGGTTAAGAACGGGGGAAGTACTGCCGCCTACAGGTCTGGCATGTCCTTAACAACGTATTTATCCGGGTACGTGTGGACAGAGTTTTGTTTTAAAACGAGGTGGTGTGGATGCAAGTTTTTGGAGGGGCGGGTATTCGTTTTTTAAAAACCCGGCTACGTGTGGACTAGGCCTCAGAGTTTTGGCTCCTGTGACCGAGCTTCCACTTTCATTTACTCCTGTAATCTAGCCTCAAGGGCAACCTGCTGGCTTGATTATCACCTGTAAGTTGCTTTGGACAAAAGCGTCTGCTAAATACATAAACATACTTACGTATGTGGCATGCGACTGGTCACCATGGCAACAGGGGCATTGAACAGGAGCTCAATCAGGATCTCTGGAGTGACCAAAGTAGATCAGATGAACTTTGAATAAAATTTTTTAGAATATGAAATTAGGCAGATGAAGTTAGTTGTGGTTAACACGGTGATGCAGGTGAACGTCAACTTTCTGCTGGGCTAGTGTCGCCCTCTTGTGTCTGTTTAGTGGTACTACAGTCGGTAAGCAAAGTCTTCACGGATTCCTCTAATTGTTGTTAAATGAACAAAAACAAAAATATCTGTAACAAAACTAGTTTAGATCAAAATTAAAATACACTCATGCACATAACATCTTCATCACTCTTGTAAAAATCATCCTCTAATCTCTGTTTTTGACTAAAATCCAGTTTCATTAAATCATTTTTGGTTTAATCAGTCACCAGATTTTTTATTTTCTTTGACCTTTATACAGGCTAACACTATCCCTCACTTTCAAGAGAGATCTGTTTTTTAATTTTGATCTAAACTAGTTTTGTTACAGATATTTTTGTTTTCGCTCATTTAACAACCATTAAGCAGGGAAAAAGCACTTTGGGTAACCGGACGCCCAGCTCTGATTGATTAGCTTTTAAAGCTCATGTCACACTTGGTGGCAAAGAAAGTAAATGATGTTTTTTTTTTATTCCTGCATCATGCGTGGGGAGATAGAATGATAATTTATTAAAGTAAAGTGTTACCTGCTGATGAAACCTGTTCGGATGTTTTTGTGAAACTTAACAGAGACGGGGACTTGAGTCTCAGACTTGGACTCCATCACTTTCCACCTAAACTCCGAGACACGTGACTAGACGTGCACCCGCCCTTAGAAAAAGTGACTTGTGACATGTCGGCCGTGATCGAGCAGGCTTCTGTTCACGCCACAACACAAAACAATCCTGTCTGTAAAGAGTACCTATGCTTTAGACGTTAAGCGGCTCAGAAGAGTAAAATGTGTTCAAGTCAAGCGCGTGTGTGTTAATTTATATTTTATTATTCTGACCTTTTGAAGTCCAAAGCAGACGGTGAAACAAAAGCCAGCCAAACATATTCTGTGTGGTGAAAGTTCAATCGTTTTCAGTAATGTACACATGAAGTGATCAACAATCTGTAAAGTAAACGTGTGACACGGTGAAAGCGGCTGAAGGCGAGTCAGAAAAGACTTGTTTCACTTGATTCCAGGACTTTTGGGAGTGGTACCTGTGAGCAACAACCAAACAAACAACAGGTTAGATGGAATAACTAAATCATCCCCAGACTTGAAAGGTGCCAGAGCAATACCCCCAGGATACTCACAGACTTGAGATAGGCCACGTTGCTCTTTTTGATCTCATCTAGAAGCTGGTCTCGAGGTGTGAGTTCCACCTTTGGAGGGACTCGTCTACGAGGGACAGGTTTCAGAGTCTTTATCACGTCAGTCAGGCTGGCCTTCTCCTCCGCGCTCTCTCTGACGTCCTTGACTTTTGGCGTCTTCCTCAGCTGAAAGCTCGGCCGTTCGGGCCTTCTGTCACCCCTTGGGTCGGGATCCAGTAACGGGTTGCGTTTCTTGGGAGTCCTCTTTAACTGGATGTCCCGTAACGGGTTTGATGACTCAGCGCTGGGTTGCTGGGGAACGCTGTTGTGTTTGGGATCCTTCGGAGGCTCTGGATGCTCTTTCTGATGCGATGTTTGGGGTTCGCCGTTCAGCTCGGACGCCGGCGGGACCAGTCCATGTTCTTGTAGGAGTTCCAGAGGTGGTATGTATCCCAACATCTGGAGTAAACCTGGAGGCAGATTAAGGCTGCTCTCATAGGACTGCATCAGCTCCCTCTGCTCCTTTAGCTGCTGCTGCTTCTGCTCCTCCTTCCTCAGCTGCCTCTGATGGTCCAGATTTCTGGTTAAGATGTTGGTCACCACCATCCTGGGCCCTGGCTGCTCAAAGTGGTATCCCATCTTCAGGAGGGTGTTGTTGGCCTTGAGCAGGCGGGAGATCTCCATCTCTGCGTGGTGACCCAGCATGTGCCTCTGGTTGTGGAAACGAAGCTCTGTGAGCGTCTCGTTGAACTGCAGGCAGCGGATGACGGCCACGATGCCTTTTCCAGTGATGAAGTTGGACTCAACGTTCAAAGTGGTGATGCTCCGATTCTCTTTTAGCATATTAGCCAGGCTGAAGGCGATGTTTTCGTCCACGCCGGTGTTTGCTATGCTGAATGTTTTCACGTGTTTGTTCTTCTTCAGCGCGTTGACATAGTCCAGGAGCATCTCTTTGGGAATGTTCTCTATGTTGTTGAGGTTCACCTCCGTCACAGACGGGTTGTTGCTACGGATCTTGTCGAGTGTCGACTCCAAGTTTGTCTCGTTTCCTGAAGGTCTTGATGTCATTTTTATATTATTCAACGCCAACTTTGGAATTTTTAATTTGTTCACTGTAATCTGTTCTCTCTTTGGGAGAGGGTCCTTTAAAGTGGCTTCAGCTTGGGGACCGTCTTTATTCGTGTTGTCTTTGTGTGTTTCTGCCTCTTTTGCGTCTGAAACAAGCTGGTTTCCAGCTCTGTGACTTTCTGATGCCCTTTCTGTGCTATTTGGGGCTTCTACGTGTTCCTCTGTACGCTCGGGTTCGTTTTCCACTGGCAGCTTCACTTCCTCTTTTTTTACAACGACCTCTTTTTCATTTGCAACCTTCACATCTTCAACTTCAATTGTCTCTTCTATGATTTCAACTCCTTCTGTACAGTTGGCAGCATCTTCTTCGGCCACCTCCTCTGTTACTTCACGCACCTCTTGGTCTGCATCTTTTGAATTTTCGATTTCTTTCTTTTTGGCATCCTCAAGTAAGATTTTCTGCAAAAAAAAATAATAATAAAAGGCTTAAGGTTTAGCGTGATGTTGACTAAATGTTTGTGGTCTTCCTCAACAGCCTCAGTTTGAAGCAATAAAACTTAGATCCATCTCGACCGGAAAAGGGTGGCTTGTCAACTCCGGGTCGGGGGAGAGGTCCTACCTCAAGTGGAGGAGTTTAAGTATCTCGGGGTCTTGTTCACGAGTGAGGGTAGGAGGGATCGGGAGATCGACAGGCGGATTGGTTCGGCGTCTGCAGTGATGCGGACGCTGAACCGATCTGTCGTGGTGAAGAGGGAGCTGAGCCAGAAAGCCAGGCTCTCGATTTACCGGTCGATCTACGTCCCAATCCTCACCTATGGTCATGAGCTTTGGGTAATGACCGAAAGAATGAGATTGTGGATACAAGCGGCCGAAATGAGTTTCCTCCGTAGGGTGGCCGGACTCAGCCTTAGAGATAGGGTGAGGAGCTCGGACATTCGGGAGGGACTCGGAGTAGAACCGCTGCTCCTCCGGATCGAAAGGAGCCATTTGAGGTGGTTTGGGTATCTGGTCAGGATGCCTCCTGGACGCCTCCCTGGGGAGGTGTTTCGGGCATGTCCTGCCGGCAGGAGGCCCCCGGGTCGACCCAGGACACGTTGGAGAGGTTACATCTCCAATCTGGTCCGGGAACGCCTTGGGGTCCTGCCGGAGAAGCTGGTGGAGGTGGCCGGGGAGAGGACGGTCTGGTGATCCCTAGTTGGGATGCTGCCCCTGCGACCCGGACCCGGATAAGCGGAGGAAGACGACGACGAAAACTTAGATCCAACAAGATTGATTAGCTAACTGCTAGTATAATTGCAGCAAGTTCCACAATGTATTGCTGCTGTCTTAAATTAGTCTTCTTCATATCATAGCCGTTGTTGTAACGTTGATGTTTTATCTCCACAAATAACACAGGCCTGAATGTGTTCTGTCATGTTGTGAAGTTGCTCATGCTAATGGTTAGCTCCTACTAGCTGAGACGTGCTCTGCTCTCTCCCGGATGCAGCCTCTGTGGATGCAAACCAAGGGGGGCAGGGCCATGAATTCAGATTTTTCTGCAGGGACTGGCTTCTTCTGACTAGAGAGGCTGATGCCGGTGATGGGAGTCGAAGAACATTTTCACATTGAGCCTGAATGTGAACTCAGAGTGACCAATCGCATCTTAAACAGAATAAATATTAACCGTTTCTCAGAGAACTAGACTTCTAATTTCCAGTGAGTTGATAGAAAAAGGTTTTCTGCACACCTTTTACATTACGTCGGTGTTTTTGCAGAAATGTGAAGTTTTCCGCCTGACTAAAATCCTGGACGACCAAACATTGCTGCATTCCTTTTCCTGCAGCTGGTGATGTTGTGATCAGTCACACAATTATTAAATTTGGGAGCTTGGAGCCGTTTTACGATCGCAGCAATACACTTTGGTCTGGGTCGCAGTCAGACCTATCCGTTAGCTCATCAGTCCGGTCCGACTCAAGCTAAAGGAACACGTCGTCTGTGTTTATAACTTTTACGCTCAAACGCGCGTCCCATTGTTTAAAACACCCCGTTAACGTTTCTGTTTGTGACTTGACTCGACACACCGTTGGTCAAACGTGCATTTCTCTGTATCTGAGCTCTTACCTCACTAGGAAGAAGCGTAGCCGGCACTCTTTCTTCCTCAAGCATTCGTTTTGATTCTTTCTCCCAGTAGAGATAACCAACTAGAGACCTGTGATCAAACGTTCCCGTTGGGGGCTTCTCCGTCTGGTCCTTCTGCCTCTGTCCCACTGGTACGTTCTCATCTGGGGCAATAATTACATCCATCTCACTCTGGAGCTCCTGAAGCTCCTCGGGCGAAAGCATAGCAAGGATTTCATCTTCATCGATGTCCTCCTCGTTCAGATCCTCGGTGTCAGGGTTGTTGGACATGTCCACACCGTGTTGATTCTCTCTCTCTGAGATCTGAATGGGAGATATCTTCAGTCCGGTCTGAGGTAAAAGACGGAACTAACTGTGAAGCGTCTGGCTTTGACTTCAGCTTCATGAACTTTGACTAAAATTAAACCTGGTGTATTGCATGGAAGATATTTAAAGTTCAAGCAGGGGGGGGGGGGGGGGATCGGGGGTGCCAGCATTCTTTTCCTCTCCCAGCTGGCTTGGTCATCAGGATATTTGGGATGACAGTTGCTGCAAGTAAAACTGAAGAGCTGGACTGACAGCAGCAGCTGGTTCATTTTCAAGGATGAAGGCTTCACCACAAACAGAGATCCTCCCAGAAAACCTGTGGAGGTGGAAGAGCTGCCTGAAGACGAGACAACCCTGAGGTTGTCTTTGGCTTTTGTCTAACACACGTGTTGCTGCTGCTGCTCATAGAAAACTGGGCTTTTATTTTCATATTGGTTTCGTTGGTAGGATCTGAAAAATAAAAGTCCTGAACTAAACGGTGAAATCTTTATTTGAACTCCTTCACTAACAGACGGACCGGGGGCGGCAGAGTTTGTAAGCTCCTGGTGGCTCAGTCTACTTTTAAAGCGTCAAATAGAGTATTTGGTTTAAATCACTCATTTTAATCTGTAGCGATACGGACGAAGACACAGAATATGATGAAAATGTATTTTATTAGAGCCGGTTTGAATTTTCCCAACAGGTCAGAAGCTCCAGGTTGTTTGAGAATCTGTCATCACTACTCAGAAGCATGGACGGAATTTTCACTTTAGAAGTGGGGGGGGGGGGGGGGGGGGGGGTTCTTTACAGGCTTCAACACAAACGGTTGCTTTCCGCTTGGTCCTAGAGCTCAACCAGTGTCAATTTAATATAGTGTAATATTGTTTTTGGATGGTAAAAAGTGCAGAGGTCAAAACTTGACTTTGGAAAAAGTGGGGGGGGACATGTCCCCCCTGTCCCCCCCCCCCAAAATTACGTCCATGCTCAGAAGCGTGTTTGTTTTCGTCTAACTTACCCTTTTTCCACAGCGTGAAGTTACAATGCAGAGCAGCCAGAGTGACATCATTTCCTGTTATCATCCTGAACAAACCTTCACATCAAACAGATTTTTACCAGCTGATACATGTTTTTAGACCAATCAGAACACTTTAGGATGTTAGTGGTCTCGGCTGAAATGCAGACGGCAGCACATAAAAACAGATCTCTTACTTTCACATTAGACCCTGAACCATAACTAGTATATGTGAGGCTGTGAAACACACTTTGGATTTGTCCCTGCTAAAGATTATCATGTTATTAAAGCGTATCCTGTTAATTAACCACACAATCTCTGTTTATAACTTCTGGGGAAAATGTAAATATAACAAAAAGCAATGGACTGACACAAAATGGTCTTTCTTGTCTGAAACATCTTGATCATGTGCAAAAACTTCAAAGTCAACATAAAAATAAGGTAGACTGTTACATCATTTAATCATAAACACAAGAAAACCCAAACTTGGTATGAGTAGCTTCAAATAACTGGATATTTGTGCAGAGAGAAGAAAATTTCCTCATTAAATGTGATTCCCAGGAAGTAAAAATGACTTTGAACACTAACTTCTTTAACATGTCACACTTCTTCCTAAAAGCTCTACCTCTTTTTTATGATTGGCACGTTCCTCCTGCTGTAAGGAATTTTATGCATGTCTTCTGACCTCTGGTGGAGGATCTAAGTACGACGGGTGATAAGTGACATTTGTGCTGATATTTTTAACATTAAAAGGCTTATTGTCACGTTTCGGGATTGGTAGGACCCAAAATGCAGTTACCCAGGATGACACGAGGCAGAAGTTGAATAAATAAAAAAAAATCCTTTTATTTTAGGATGACCAAAAATAAAAATAAATCCAAAAGGCTGGGAGCCAAAGTCCAACAATCCAGATAACGATCTGGAGATCCAAATACACAAGAAGCACGAGAAGACTTAGATCCAAATACTAGAGGCACGAGAAGACATGGCAGAATTACAACAATGGACCGACACCAAACAGAGACAAGACAGGGCTTAAATACACAGGGAGAACAGGAAGCAGGTGTGTGGAGTGAGGGCTGGAGGGAAGGCAGGTGATACCAGTTATCTAAATGGGGAAACAGAACCGGTGGAGGGCAGATAAACCTGAGACACAAAACTAAACCTAAGACTGAGGGAAGGACTCACACACACACACACATAAACTCACACACAAATGCACTCACACACACAAACACCGAACTGGGGCAGGACACGCACACACACACACACACACACACACACACACACACACACACACACACAAACGCCGAGATGGGGAAGGACACGCACACACACACACACACACACACACACGCCGAGATGGGGAAGGACTCACACACAAATGCACTCACACATACATACACTGAACTGGGGAATGGACACACACACACACAAACACCGAACTGGGGCAGGACACGCACACACACACACACACACACACACACACACACACACACACACACACACACACACACACACACACACACACTCTGAGCAGGGGAATGATACACACACACCGCGCTGGGGACAAAGAGGCTGGAGATGACCTGGGAGGAATGATTTTAAAGGGCTACAACAGAAGACACATAACTGAGACGCAGACAAAGGACACATGAGGGCGCTAAGAGAACACAAAGGGAATCTGGAGAAGGATGGAGAAACATCAGGAGACACATGAAGGAAGACGCAGACCCAGACCATGACACTTATTCGGTTAAGACTTGGTGACAGTGACCTGATAAATAGTTTACCAACTGCACGTCGCTGCAAGAAAGTGGCAACACCCATCTGTGTGTCACATGTATTTATTCGCCTCCTCGTTTCAAATGGGAAATATTTTATGCCAACATGTCATGTAGCTACTCACTGACTGTACAAAAGTGTGATAAAGCAAACATCGTGATATGGTTTCATGGCAGTGTCTCTTTTGAGCAAAAATGGATTTTCTCACCATGCATTTCAAACACACTGCACCAACAAGACAAATGGCTCTAGAAACAATATCGACACACATTCTGACTCCGCCTGTCAAAAGAAATGGAGAAATGGGAATTAATGGTAGAAAATCCTGCTCTAATGATAAAATCAGTACTCACAAAGTCACATTTGTGAACATATTGGAGCTTTGTCCTCAATCTCCATCATATTCTAGACTATTATTATGATGAAATCAAAAAAATGATTGCTTTTTTTTCTTTAACCTACTGTTATTTATAAGGCAGTAGCCAGTTGTGAAAACTCAAGCTGCTCTCACTTGACTTTAGTACACGACAGGTTTGAATTTCAGTGTAGTTGTGCAACATTTTGACACATTCTCATCTGCCTCTACAATTCATCCAATCCAAGGCACGTGGGAAAGTCAATCCGGAGCGTCATCACTGTTTCAGAGCTTTGCTGCAAACACTTTCACACGCAGATTATCTCCAAAGACAGCTGTCAGAGAAGTCTGTTTCAGTTCTGTTCCCCGTGTGCTGCTGGCCACGGCACGTTTCTACCAAACTTTGGCTTGGTCCTCTTCAGCGGATGCTCATGAAGCTCCTGTCAAGCTGAAACCTGTGAGAAGAGGAGAAGACGTCACAAAGGTCGTAGATCTAACGTGTGAGGACAAGAAACACATGGCCTTTTACTGAGGGGGGATGGAGACGGATGTGAAAATGTACCATATGACTTCGTACGATAAACAGAATGCGTCGCGTTACTGTAAAATAAAGTAAGATACTGTTTCAAATGTATTATGTATGAAAATAAAAATAATATGTGTTATTTTATCCACACCAAAGGCAAAATATTAAAGTTAACTGTTGATTAGTTTTCTTCAAGTTTTATCAGGGCAGCAACTCACTTTGGAAATTCTCTGAAATAACATTTTGTTTATCCGTCTGACTTTGGCGCCTGCAGGTGAGCAGCTCACAACAGGTAGAACACCCAAACGTGTTTCATCACCAGTGTTGGGCAAGTTACTTCAAAACTGTAATGCATTATTTATTACTTGTTGCCCTCATTTTAAAGTAATTCATTACATTACAATATTACTGATTTTAAAATGTAAGGCATTACACTACTTTTGCATTACTTGAAGTAACTTTCACCAATACAACTTCAGCATGAATCTGGTCATGTGACGCTCAGTGAGCTCATGACATATATGTGGAAGGTGATGTGGTGTCTGAGCTAGGATTGCTGTTAAAAACAGTCAGATATAATAACAGTGCTTTAAAATGATTGTTTATTAAATAAAAGCAACAACAATCTGTACTCTCAGCACGCTGCCATCTTATATTACCTGAGCAGGGAGTGAGGTGGTGGGGGCTCCAAGCCTATATTTGCCTTGGTCCCCAAATGCCTTGATACGGCCCTGGATGTGGGACTGACTTCTGGGGAGATCTGATTCTATCACATGTATAAATATTAAATGTTTATATATTATTGCTTTTCACTGGTAAAAATGTGTGTTGGGGATAAATCAGCCTACTTTTTTCTTTTTTCTTGATTTTATTTGAATAATTTCCCGCCCTTTCTCTCTCTAACCTTCCTGCATGCTGCATGTTTTCTCCGTCTTCCAGAAAAAACTGTTTCCTAGACTTCCTACTTTCTAACGATCAGCCAAAGGGATCTTCACATGCGCGGCGCTCCAGCAGTAATGAGTTGAAATCACCGGGGCACAGATTATTAACTCAGCTGAGGCAAAGCACATCAGGAAAGCACAAAATACCAGAGAATATGCGCCGATATGAACGATCGCAAGTGAATTATTTGGTTTTAGTGGAGCGATTTTGTGAATGTTACAGCGGCCGCGTGCAGGACGCAGCTGAGCCGTTACCGCGGCGTCCTCTCTGCCCGCAAAGCTGAGTCCATAAATGACGTCATTTATGCAGATACTGGATCTTTCTTCGGGTTTCCCGCAATTTGAATTTTTAAGGAACACGTCTTGATTCTGGGTTTAAAAATGCATTGTAATTACCGCGTTACTGACAATTGTACCGAGTAAATATTACCATTTTCTTTCCCTGTAATGCCTTACATTACCACATTACAGCAAAAAGCAATGCATTACAGTAATTAATTACTTTTGTACTGCGTTACTCCCAACACTGTTCATAAATACGCCTCTTCAAATGACGGCTTCATACGTCCCAGGCTCATTCGCTCGTGCTTCAATCTGGACAAAGTTTTTACTTTAGTTGGGATCACTTGTGTCACTATCAGCTTGTGGTTTTCATATTAAAGGTATTGAACTCTCATTTAATTAATACAGTTGCAGTAGTCTCTAGCAGGAGTGAATGCCTAGTAAGTCGTGCTCAGGGGAAATAAAACCCAGAAGCAGAAGAGCACGGAGAGACCAGCTGGAGGAGAAAGCAGATTCAGACGACAGGATTCGGACTCTTATTTCCTGGTATTTGGACATCTCTCCTCTGATTGGATAACAGCATTGTGACTCTACCACTGACTCTGTTTACTTTTCAATGTTGATGTTTTATCTCCACCAATAACACAAGCCTGGAGGAGTTCTGCTGTGTGGTGGAGTTGCTAATGCTAACAGTTAGCTTCTACTAGTCGAGACGTTCTCTGCTGTTTCCTGGACGCTAAACCAACAACAGCCTTCACCGTGGTGAGTCGAGATGGGTGAGTCCATGAATGTAAAGTGACGGTGTGACGTAGATCTGTCAGGATTTTCTAATCCTAGAGTTTCACCGTCTGTTTTCTATCAGAAGCTACTGCAGGAGATTGGTGTAGGAGACTATTTTCATGTTCAGTCTGCATGAAACACTCAGAGTGACGGATTATAATCAAAAATAATAATTTCAAATGTTTTTAAAGTGTTTTAAGCACATTAAATAGTTTAGTGATCGGGACATTTTAGTGCAAAAAACGCTCAGTGAAAATATAAATGAGCAAACCTGGAAATGAAAAGATGATCAGTAACAAAACAAGGTGCAAAAAGCAAAACGTGAACGTGGACTAGATGAAGAGTGGAGATGACGTGCATCAAGACACGACGTGTCCGCCGTGTGCGGTCTCACCATTAAGTGTCAGAGTCTGATGGTTGGTCTGCGCTAGTGGCCTCAGCATTGACCACATCTACTGATTCAGGCTTTCTAGGCAATGTTTCAGACTCTTTGTTTTCAGATGAAACTCTTCACACGTAAGCATTAATTACAGGTTGAGAGGTGAAAGAGAGAAGAAAGCAGAAACAGAGGGAAACCCCATAAGAACATGACAAGACTTAGCAGAATGCACTTAAAGCACAGCATCTCATTACAGAAATAAGGAATGAAAGTTTAGGAAACCATCGTTTATATCACCAGTCCAGGTCCGGCGTCATTGATCACTGCTGTTATTCTGCTGTGCGACACTCACCTGATGTGTGCGGGACTGCGGTTGTATGGAGATGCTTGAGCTCCGGGGTGAAGGTACTGAGGTCCATCGGCCGTATCGAACTCTGCCAGACCAACGGCCAGCTGACTGCGCCAGTTGCCTGTACTTTCTGCCGATGACACTGAATAAAGCAAAGGCGGTCAGCTACAGTTGGAGCGTGAAACAGTTACCATACACCTCTGTTTTCTTCACATAACCAAAATCAGCCTCATAATCAAGTTTAGTAATAAAAATATTTTAATTTTCAAAGTCTTGTCTCGTGTGTTTCCGACAACTCTGACTAGTGGCGTTTAACACTCCAGTGACTATAAAAACATTATCCATTCATCTTTTTCTTCCACACATCTATTTATAACTGGACACCTCACAGCAAACAGCTGCAGCTCATCTGAGTAAATATGATCCTTGGACACAACACTAGGATAAAGAACACTGCCTTAGCCTGGATTATTAAGACCCTGCAGATCCTAATCCACTCAGATTAATAGATTCTGTTTGCATCTCCAGCATCATTTTACTATGGTGTTCCTCAAGGTTTTGTTCTAGGACATGTCCTGGTCTCTGTTCATACTTTTCTTAACATTTTTTCTTTTAAATCGCAATTGCTTATTCTTGCTCATTTTAAACATATTTTTAAACATTTTTGAAATGCTTTTTTATATTTTAACAATTTTTTATATTTTTGTTTTTGTTTTTGTGAAGCGCCTCGTGATTTTTATCTTGAGAGGCGCTATAGAAATGATATTTTCTTCTTCTTCTTCTTGCTCTTCCATACTAATGTATTCGTTTTGTGGCTTTTCACTCATTGACTGTGTCTATAACAATTGGCAGACCCTTTATTTTATGGTTCCACTTATCCGTAACCTCCTTGGGACACCAACATCATCTTTACCTTAAAAAACAAGTTATAATGTGCATCTGAAAGAGCTTATTTTCATCCCACCTGAGGAAAAAGACGCTGTTCTACTCGAGTGGCTGAAGGCTGCCGGCATGGTCTGGTAGCCCAGGCTGAGCTGAGAGCCGCTGTCGAAGTCATATCCGGCCATCAGTCCCCTACCCCCCTCTCTCTGGCCTTTGTTTCGGTGGTACCAGCCTCTCAGATGCTCTGCCACCATGGCCTTCTGCATGTTTTTGGCTAGGAGCTTGTTTCTTGGCCCCTCCCTTGTCCGTGGTGGCCTCACCGTTGCATAGGGATTCTGAGAGAAGCTATCTGCTCCATCACTGCTGTAATGCCTGAATCTGTCATGCTCGTGATAGCCATTCATTTGGTAGGTGGGGTTGACATTGTAGTGGCCTTCAACGTCATTCTCATATACGTAGGCACCGTTCGCATAAGGCTCCATGTCTGGGCACGGGTAACCGGTGACATAGTAGGCACTGGGTGCATAATGTGATGAGGTTTCGCACGAGTAGTTACTTCCCGAGTGGTGCTGGACCAAGTTGGGCATGCTTCCGGTGTTACTGAACACGTCCACTTTCCTGTGCAGACGATGCACGGTTGAGGTACGAGAGTCGAGTGTACTGTAGTGGGAGTTGGCGGCCCCGCAGTATTCCAGACTGGACTGACTGGTGTAGGAGGAGCCGTCTTCCAACACCTCTGTGCTGTTACTGCGATGGGATGGTGACAAGACAAAAACAGGCTTCTCAGAGTCTGTGTCTTTCCTCAGATGGGGCTGAGACTCCAGACTTCCACTACGAGCCCTGAAGCACCGAGGAGACCCCTCCAACCTGCCAAAAAGACCGTTTGTCTTTAGTTTCCTCAAAAGTACAGTGGGAGAATTTCACAGGAAAATCAAAGGTTTAATGAGAGTTCTAGTAAATGGTTTAGAGAGTTAGTGTTGGGGAGACGGCACACCTGAGCTGGCTGCTGCTGTAGGCATTGCGGGTCAGGGCCGGGGTGGGAGGCGTGCTGCGTGGATCTCTAGGAGGTCTAGGAAGGGTTTTGTAGGGACTGCTGTGGGTGGAGGAAGGTTCTCTTGTGTTCTGGTGGGTATGGCTAGCCTCCAGCCCATCATAAGCTAATCTAGAAGGGTTGCGGTATTGGAGAGAATAAAAAGCAGGTGGTGAGATGTGAGGAAAGGAATGAGGCTGCAAACATGACATGACAAATGTTCAAGCCTCTGCCAGTAAGTCGTGCGTGACATCATTTCTTTGCTGAACAGGAAAAAAGTTGGATTTAATAAAACCTGAGCTTGTGAAAGCAGTCTGCCTATAGCTTATCCAAGCAGGAGGAGAGGATTTGTTCCCCACCTGCTGTGGTCCTTGTGCTGATTTCCCAATGGAGAACCGTGTCTTTCCACATCATATTCTGCTCCTAGAGTTCGCATGGGACTGAGCTGAGGGGAGTCCTGGACCGACCGTGACCGCGGCCTTTGACCTGCGCTGTCGGAGTCATCTAAACACACACAGGAAAAGGTTGCACTATTTCTTTTCATCCCTTCTAAAAACGTCCTAGCTACAGAAAGAGCAAACGTCAGTAAGTCCTGGAAACAGCACAGAGGAGTTAGAGCAGGTCTAATGATGTGAGTGACTCACCGTCGTCTAAAGGGAGACTAGACAGAGAACTACAGTCTGACCGGACAAGTTCATCTAAAAAGGAAAAGAAAACAGCTCCAAATACTCTGCCAGTGCAGATTCATGGTTGCCATGGCGCCGGATTACAGGCCAGCATGAACCCTACCTGCGATGATCACTGAGGCGCGCTGCGTGGGCTTTTTCGCCTTTTTTATCCTGTACTGGTTCATCTCATCCTCTATCTGCTGGAGTTTGTGCATGGCGTCCAGACAGTTTCTCCTCCTCTTCTTCTTCACCGTTTTGCACAGTTCTGACTCATTTGCGAGCTTTTTAGCCGCTTCAACGATCTTCTGTTGAAGAGCAAACCTGCTCTCCAGGTTCCTCAGGAAGGGGTCCTGCAAAAGTCAGCAGAAGGAGGTCCGTCCGCAGCGGTCAGAGGAAGTAACGACCACCAAGTGTGTTGTAATTGTGTGCAAAGTGAGTAACCCCTCAAAAAGTGAAAAGGCATTGCAAAATGTTTCCTAATGAAACCATTCTTAGTTTAAAAGCATAAATCAATGAAGCAGGATGGGTTTGGGTTAGGGTTTTAGGGTTGTAACGTGAGGAAATATGGGTTTTCTGTGCCAAAGGTTTCATTTGGCCTGGCTGGGTCAAAGCTGGGTCACTCAGAACTTTAACCCACAGATTAAGACCTTTGCCGACATGAAGTCTGCAAGAGTATGCTGCAAACCATAACATCTGCCACCTGCAGTGCCAGAAGATGTTATGGTTTGCAGCATACTCTTGCAGACTTCATGTCGGCAAAGGTCTTAATCTGTGGGTTAAAGTTCTGAGCGACCCAGCTTTGACCCAGCCAGGCCAAATGAAACCTTTGGCACAGAAAACCCATATTTCCTCACGTTACAGGGTCAAATATGGGTTTTAATACCTTCCGTTTAACATGAGCAAATAAAAAACAGTCAAACTTGCCTGAAAGTTTAATGCATCGTTAATTATTTCAATTCAAATTCAATTCAAAAATACTTTATTAATCCCAGAGGAAAATTAGAGAAATTTAAGAAATTTACAGCATTTGTCACATTTTCCTCTGTATTTAAAACAACTGCTGCAGCGGTTTAATCAGATGTTTGTCTTACAAAACCAGCTGGACTTTAACATCAGCAGCTGCTGACAGTGACGATTTCACTGTTATTTGCCGGTGATATGAGTGTCACCATGGTAACCTAGAGGAGTAGTCTGCTGTAGAGGAAAGACGAGTGTCTGATGCCCTGGTGTTTGAGCTTTTAACTGTCGTTTTAGCCCCTATAAAAGTGCAGCGGCGCCCCCAAAGGGTGATGAGGGTGTAAGAGCACCCAAACCCATCACTGGGTGCAGCAGAAGCAGGGTACCTGCTAACTGAGCATGCTCTCAGCTACAGCTTTTATTATTCACACATTTAGTATATTTCAGGTTGTTACATTAATAATAATAATGCATTGAACTTATAGAGCGCTTTTCTAGACACCCAAAGACGCTTTCACACACTCACATTCACACACTGCTAGTGATGGTAAGCTACTTGAAGCCACAGCCGCCCTGGGGAGGTCTGACAGAGGCGAGGCTGCCATTTGGCGCCGTCGGCCCCTCTGACCACCACTAACACAGGCAAGTTGGGTGAAGTGTCTTGCCCAAGGACACAACAGCAGGATACCCCTGGCGGGAGCTGGAATCGAACCCATGACCCTCCGATCATGAGACAACCCGCTCTACCACCTGAGCTACTGCTGCCCCAGATTGAGCTACAGTCCATGCTCCTGTGATTACGCTGCAAAAGGTCAAACCCCGACCCCAGCCACGACCCCCTGCAGCCATGGATGTAATTTTGGGGGGGGACAGGGGGGACATGTCCCCCCCACTTTTTCCAAAGTCAAGTTTTGACCCCTGCACTTTTTACCGTCCAAAAGCAATATTACACTATATTAAATTGACACTGGTTGAGCTCTAGGACCAAGCGGAAAACAACTGTTTGTGTTGAAGCCTGTTTCCAATTAGAGCATACTGTAAAGATACCCCCCCCCCCTCCCCTCCCGTGTCCCCTCCACTTCTAAAGTGAAAATTACATCCATGCCTGCAGCAGATCAGATCCATCTTGTTTACCAGACAGTTGAAATGCAGTAGCACACAAACTTGTAATTGTGGTAATTAAACGTCTCAGTGTTGCAGAAGGCCTTAATGATGGGTCCGACCCAAATATGGATGCAGATTCAGGTGTTTAGTTATGTAACAGCCAAGTGTTTGTGAGTGAGTGCACATACATGTAACACTAAAACATGGAGTTAATGACGTTCAGGAAGACTCAGACTGGATGGACCACCTCCTAGGCTTTATAGTCATTAGAACAAGATTGTGTCCCGAAAAGAGGAAATCAGTACGGAGATGATGTCGTCGACGCTGAGTCACCCAGAACAGCGTGAGTCAGAATGACAGGGCGGGTCTCAATCACCTTAAATAGTGCCTGGTGTCATGTGAACTTTAAAAGCCTGCCACACTAAAACCTGACGTTGCTGCTGCGTTGGCTCGGAGCTTCACCTCGTTGTAGGGAAAAAGGTCGTCCAGCTTGAAAGCGGTGCCAACGCGCCGTCTGACCAGCGGTGGTCTCTCGCCCGATGAGAGGGGATACTCCTTGGGCAGCTTGCCAGTTAGCTCCTGGGGAAACAACTCGATGTTATCACTCTAGACTCCAACATCTCTCAGAAACAAGAATATTCAGACAGGAAGCAGAGAACAAGAAGGACTCCTCACCGCCTCCCGGAGGCAAATCTTCTTCAGCTCTTTTGTTTTCTTGGCCAAGATCTCCTGGATCTGCTGTTCCTTCTTCCTGAGATCAGAGAGCTTTTCTCTCTTCTGCTCCTCGCTCATTTCAGAGTCCGCAGAACCTGAAAGAACACCCGACTCACTCGCAAGTCCTAAACAAGTCGCCTTTGACGCGTGTTTCTCAACTGCCTAACTCCGAGTGACTCATTTTGTTTAGATGAGAACTAATTAGCCGTTTGACTGCCTGGTAGGTCAGAATTTAGCCTCTTTATAGAAAATGGTTGTTGTCCCAACGCGGATGAAAACTTTACTCTGCTGTGGTGATTAATGTGTTCACACCCACCCGTGGACACCAGGCTCCCGTTGCTGGCCGTTATGAAGTTCTTCTTCAGACCGACATCTCCCGGCCGGCTCATTTTGGCTCCTCCGTGCTCTGTGAGCTCCATCGCAACCTCCTCCAAGCTTCTAGCTTGTGCTGGTTTTCCCTTCAACAGCGATGAAGATCATTGAATTCTAAAACACACTGAAGGGGGAAGGAGGTGGGCGTGAGTCACTCACTTTGCTCTGCTTTCTGTCCAAGTAGAACTGGTGCTGGCTGATGGCCATAGCCCAAATGGTCTTGATCAGTGAGTGGCTGGCATACCAGGTGTGGATGAGAAGGCCTGTCTGCCCAAACGTTCGCTTGGTTACGGCTCTCCTGCACAAACGCAAATTTGATCAAAGATCCTTGAAGCTCCTGGAATGCATTTTGAAAATCAATGATCGATCAGGGTCAGAAAATGCATGTTTACCTGTGTGGATCATTAACTTCCACAGCAAACTTTTTCTCACGGAAGTACAAGTTTTCCAGCTGCTTCCACTGGTACAGCTGGATGTGGAAATGGGCCAAACAACAAATTCTCATTAGAGTGTGTTTCAGAAGAGAGGTCTCTGCAGAATGAGCCTCAGAGAAAAAGGCTCTATAGGTGAGCTGAGGCGGAGAAAACCCGACTTCATCTCTGCGTTTAAAATTCGCCAACACCTTCCCAAACAGCAGCCCAGATGTTTTTCCTGTTTCTCCCACGGTCATCAGAAAGCCAGACGCTAACGCGAGCTGCCGTTAGAGTCCGGGCTGCCCGGCGTGCCGTGTGTGAAGGAGAGAGACACCACAAAGAGACGCTACGTCCATCACATCCGCCCCCTCCCCACCTCATCAACCAGGTGCTCCCAGCAAACAGCCAGAACCGAAGCGTCACTGACTCACGCTGTCTGGGCAAGACTGGATCGCGGCAGAAATCCGACGCAGCAAATAGCTGGAAGGCACAAATCTTTTACCCAAAACGTCCGAAACGTCAGACGATTTTTATTCAAACATCAGCAAGATCCAGTCTTACCCACTTTGTAGAAGTTCAGGATGAATCCTCAGAAAATCCTCTGACTTTGCTGTCAACACAAACACATACTCCACTCTGCCTGCTGTCAGCTCCTGACTTGTCTTTTCAAGAACGTTCTCAGAACGTTCACGACTAACGCCCAAATCCAGCCCCCTTTTCCGTCCACATCACCAGCTCACTCCCTCCTCCCTTCTGAAGCGCACTCCTCAGCTGCGTGCCTTGCACAACCTCAGGGTGCACCAGTCACAGATGGATTGCTTCATGTTGAGCTGTTACGCAGGAGGAGGAGGAGGAGGAGGACGAAGGCGATGCATGGTCCCGATGTCCAGGACACTGAAAGTGTGCATCCACACTCTGGTCTACATCGCAGACCTCACACAGGTGTTTCTTCTGTCCACCGCACCCTAATGGGACGGGGAAAGCATGCTCTCGCTGCTGGAATCTGTCCTCATCACTTTCCAAAAGCGCCTTAATAAAACAGACAGACCGAGGCGCTGCTTCAGCGTTTTGCATGTCTGGCCTCGTCTGCAACAGCCGAAGCCAAGTGTTCTCCGAGGTGGAAGACACGATGCATGAACTAACGCGGGTGAATCACCACACCTGTGTGCAGCAGCAGCCTTTTTCACCCATTCCTGTGTAATCAGATTACTGTGAAGCAGAACAAAACAGAATCAGCTGACATTTTGTTTTTTTTGGTTTGACCTTTCGAGGTTTTAACTTGTCCTGCAGGTCGTACTGGCCGATGCCCTTGTAGCTGATCCCGAGCCACCACGGGATTCCTTGTTTATCCTGTGAGGAAAGAGCACAGCTTTACTTTTGCTGACTCCATTCCAGACGCAACAGCTGTCATTTCCTGAGTCAGATAAAAGACCTACCTTAACCTCGTAATAATGGACGCCATATGTTGGAAGGGACTCCACTAAGGTCAGATACCTGGAGGACAACACAGTTATTAAAAACGCTCGCTGTTGTTTCTGTTTGTTTGTGGTTTGCGTTTGAAATGTGGAGGAAAAGAGGATCAGTGACACCGATTTCTAACAGATGCTGTGAGCAAAGGGAAGGAAGAGACGAGGAAAGTGACAGGACCTTTAACTGAACGGCATCACAAGTGTGAAGCAGCAAAAACTTACTGCACAACCACCTGTCCTCTGGAGGTACCCTTTAGCTGTTTGTAATACTCGATTACTCGATCCTCGCTGCAGGACAAAGACAAGGACACAGTCATACACTGATCACCCTAACTGTGTGCCTTTGGGCCGATTAAACAGAGCATTTGGACCGATTGTGTGGCCGTTAGTAAAACCTGCTGAGTAGGAATCAGACCTACAACCTGATCGCTGTACTCTGTAGGTCTGTGTAACACTGCTAGTACCAGTATGCAAGAGACGGGTGCTCCTTGAGTACTCTGGTGGGAAGAGTTGGAAGCTTCTTCAAATCTGCTCGAGTGTTTTCATCACTGCAACAAAGAGACAAACAGGACCGATTTTGGAAGCTTGTCACGATCCGCTTATGTGAATGTGCTTTTTTTGTTGTTGTTGTAGCCGTGATTTTATTTTATTTTTTATTCGGTTAAGTGTAGCTCTACTGGTGTCTTCGTGTGAAAGTGGCACGGAAAGAAATCTGTGCTGGAATCAGACGTTAGAATAAAAAAAGAGCTAAACTCATGATAAGTCAGCTTTAAGGACTGCTTCATGCTACATCTTCATAAATGAACATTATCAAAGTACCTTCTAATAGAACTACTGAACTTTTCATCTGCGCCGACTGCCAACAGAAGCAGCACCTCTCACTGCTGGTGCAGTTTTGCATGCATTTTAAAGGTGCACACATATTTTTAAATATCTTCTAGCTGTGGAAAAGCGTCTGATTCTCAAAGATCTACGCATTAATTATTTACTGCCTCCCGAGAGCCGTAGGTAGCTGCGTCTCAGTGAGATAAACGAAGGAAAAGAAGCTGCACGTTTGCACTCAAAAAAAGG